GTTGAAAGCTTATCATAACTAAGGGTGCATCTACACTAGAATGAATGCAGCTCAACACCACTTTAACTTCCATGGCTCCATACTAGGAAATGCTGGGAGCTGAAGTTTTATCAGGCATCAGTATCCTTTGGCAGAGAAGCCCAAAGATGTTATCAAACTACAACTCCAATAATACCAGGGCAGTTAGGGTGGTATCAAACTGCATTAATTCTACAGTGTAGATCAGGGGTTCCTAATCTATGGTCCGTGGACCACCAATGGTCTCCAAGGACTAAAATATGGTCCACACTCACCGTTACTACACCGTTGCAACGAGAGCGACTGGTCTCGCGAAACCCTCTTATAGTGCCGAGGCAACGGGGATGTCGGGAGGGGAGAGACTGACTACCCACGAAATGAGCGACAACAAGCGTCCTGACTGCTGGTTCTCCTCCCTCACCCTGAGCGGAGCCATTCCATGTGATGCCTGGAAGCAGAGACACCCTGGTGTCTTCATTTTTAGGCCTGTTCCTGGGGTTATTTGGGATATTGATTCAGAAAATTGCACTGAATAGACCACATCAGCTTTAGATTATTAAATATGGTTTTCTGTGGGTGAGCAGATGGCAACTACTGGATGGCATATGTTTTGTATCAGAAACTAGAATGGACATAGACTATCCAATGCAGTTTGCTGAATCAGCACCCCAAATAACCAAACTGAAACTAAAGTTGACCAAAACCCGATTTGTTACCCTTTTGGTACTCATGTTGTAGAGTGGTCCCTGGTTAAAGTGGTCCCCGGTCAAGTGGTCCCAGGTAAAAAAAAATATATGTTGAGAACCACTGCTGCACCCCAAGTTCCAAACATGGCAGAGGCAAAAACAAGCCTTCACCAAAAAATAAAAATGAACTTAGAAAGCAAACCCAAAGCAGCAACTGATTTATATAAGAACTCAAAGTAACAATTGCTTTATACAATTGCACATTACAGGATGCACAGGGAATTCTCCAACTCTGCATGGATCTCATAAAAGAAAATCACCTGTTTAGTTTCTTTCTTCCAGAGAATACAAGCCAAAGAAAAATCAACTGTGAACTGAATACTGAGATGCACTGTTGATATTTACTGGTCTGCATTCTCAACCAAAGGCACCAAAACTGTCTGACCAGCGAATTTTACAAGAGTCCAAAACAGTAACCTACTAATTATAAAGGAAACTCACGGCTCCACGGAAAACATGTGAAAGGGAGAGAAGAGGGAGGCAGCAAGAAAGGAAAACAAAATTCACAACAAGTCTTTAAACAAACAGAACTCAGTACTTTTGTGAATCAGAGTTCACTTTACTTGCTCAAAAATACCCCAAGATTTGAATTTACAGCCTCAGTTGTAATTAAGTCTGATGTGTGTTACTGAAACAGAACAGTGTGATTTATGTATATTCCTATGAATTCAGTTTATTCCCGTTCATGCACCCAAATATAACTGATTTAAATTCCAAGTATATTTTGATTTGGCAGCTTTGCTGATGAATGTACTGATAAGGAGAATTAGTTATGTCTAACATCACTTAACTCACATATATTTTGGCATAAGAGAACAAACACAGAGCATATTACTGCCTCACAACTGACATATTTCTCTGTTCTTGTCCCATTATCTATGCCCTTAGCAATGAACATGAAACACTCAGATGCAAACAGGTGTACTGAAACCTTTGTTTGACTAGCAAAGACTTGTAGTCCAGACTTTCCCATATTTACATTGATCTCTGTGTGTATTCATAAGCTAATATAACTTCAGTATCTCAAAATGCTTGGGACCAAAAGTGTTCTGGATTTATTTAATTTTTTTTTATTTTGCAAATATAAAGCTTGGAGATGGGACCCAAGTCTAACCATAAAATTCAATTATGCTTTATATACACCTTATACATATAACCTGAAGGTAATTTAAACAATATTTTAGATAATTTTGAGCATGAAACATTGTGTGTGTGTGTGTGTATTCTAAACCATTAGAAAGCAAAGATGTCGCTTTAATCAGCTACCTATGTGGACAATTTTGGAGGGTTTTAGGAACTGGTGGTGGTGCTGACTGATGTGTGCGTGTTGTGTAGTCGCAACTTAAATTTACACTTGTCAAATGAGCAAAAATGGCCAGTTCTGTGCCCACATCATGCAACACTTGCGTGTCTTTTAAATCACTGAAGAAGGGCCAGCAAACTTCAGCAACTTTGTCATTTCTACAATGATTTCTGTGCTCCACCTTGAACTTGAATCTTAGCTTCCTAGGACTGTAGAATTAATGCAGTTTGATACTTCTTCAAGGACTCAATGCTATGGACTCCTGGGATTTAATGTTTGATGAGGCAGCAGCACTGTCTGACAGAGAAGGCTAAAGGTCTTCCCTCCAAAGGGAAATTTCCTCATGAAAGAGTCATCATGGGAGAGAGAGGTCTCCATTGAAGCTTTGTTCACCAACCCTTGTTTCCACAACAAGCCAAATTTGTCAAAATCCAATTAACACAGGGACAGAAAGTGACATGAAAACTTCTGAACAGGGGCAAAGACAGCAAAACAATGGCTGGAGTTACACTTTGAAAATATACCTATTCCAACTTGCATGCAAATTCAACTTAAGAACAAACCTACAGAACCTATCTTGTTTGTAACTTGGGGACTGGCTGTACATGCTTTCCTATGCTCTGCTACGATAGCTGTCTGCACAGTTGAGTGTCTGCTGGGTCATGTAGTGCACTTCTGACTGATGTCTCCTGAAGGTGTAATGCTCCATAGGAATCCTAGTAGTCCAGCTTCACCTGCTCCCTATGGAGGGAAGGATTCCCAGCCCCAACCCAACTAAATTTGGAGGATGAGAGAGATCTCAAGGACGTAACCCAGCAGCGCGCCCCCCCCCCCCCCGCATCAGGTATATAACCTGTGAGGTACGCCAGCAAGGTGGTTTGAGTCAATGGACTATAGTTGTCTGTACACTTGAGAATGAATGCAGTTGAGTACCACTTTGACTGTCATGGGCCAATTTTATGGAATACTGGAAGTTGTAGTTTTACAATCCTCCTCTGTCAAAGAGTGCTACCATAGTACTTTAAGTAAGTAAAGGTAAAGGTTTCCCTTGACATTACGTCTAGTCGTGTCTGACTCTGGGGGTTGGTGCTCGCCTCCATTTGAGCCAAAGAGCCAGTGTTATCCATAGATGCCTCCGAAGTCATGTGGCCGAAATGACTGATGGAGCACTATTACCTTCCTGCAGAAGCGGCACCTATTGATCTACTCACATTTGCATGTTTTTGAACTGCTAGGTTGGCAGAAGCTGGGGCTAACAGCAGGAGCTCACTCCACTCCCTGGATTCAAACTGCCAACCTTTCAGTCAGCGAGTTCAGCAGCTCAGCGGTTTAACCCACTGTGCCACCAGGTACTTTAGCAAAGTACAACTCCCATTATCCCATAGCATTGAGAAATCACAATTAGAGTGATGTCAAACTACCTTAATAAGTAATACATTCATTATTATGATGACTATTAGTATTAATTCTACAGTGTAGATGCACTCTAGGACTCTTGGGATCAGAGTTCAAAAGGCTGGTTGACTATGTAAGAATTACACTCTCTCAGCTACGGAAGACAGCAAAGGCAAATCCCTTCTGAACAAATCTCGCTAAGGTCAGGTTCGTTTTAGGGTTGCCATAAGTGGGAGGGAAACATGAAGGCACACAACAACAACAACAACAACAACAACAGTTGGGCTTTATATTTTTCTGGGTTGTAGGTTTTTCGGGCTCTATGGCCATGTTCTAGAAGCATTCTCTCCTGATGTTTTGCCTACATATGTGGCAAGCATCCTCAGAGGTTGTGAGATTTTCTTGTCTTATTATTTAATTTTTATTATATGTTATGTTTTTAATTGGTATTTATGAATTGTAAGCATTGAATTTTGCCCTGTTAACCGCCTTGAGTTGCCTACGGGCTGAGAATGGTGGTATAAAAATACAGTAAATAAATAAATAAATATTTTTTAATCTCAGAATTTATATTTGAACGGCTCTCTTGTTTCATTCATTATCTTCCCACTGATTTTGCAATACAATATTTCAAGAAAGTCTGCAATGAAAAGAAACGTTCTTTGATGCTGTAGCTCGTTTTAATGTATTTTGGGGGGCTCAGGAGGAGGACAAAAATCAAGAAAAATATCCTGTTCCATGTCATATATAGTTCATTAATACTAATTGCACACACACACACAACCATATCTTACAACCTGGGTGGAAACATCAAAGCAAATTGTGGATGGAGGGGGAAAGTGGATCATGGCTCAAATTGGAGGCCCTTTTGGGGTTCAGGACACCAAACTAAAACCAACATAAGTAAAGGTTTTCTCCTGACATTAAGTCTAGTCGAGTTGGTGCTCATCTCCATTTCTAGGCCGAAGAGCCAGCATTGTCCATAGACACCTCCAAGGTCATGTGGCCAGCATGACTGCAAGGAGCGCCGTTATCAACAAAACTTTTAAAAGTTTTGACAGGCCTGTATTATTTTTCCACCACATGGAGGTTGATGCTAATCTCCATTTCTAGGCTGAAGAGCTGGCATTGTCCATAGACACCTCCAAGGTCATGTGGCCTGCATGGCTGCAAGGAGCACCGTTACCAACATACAGTTATTTAAAAAGTTTGAACAGACCTGTATCATTTCTGCACCACATGGGGTACATCTACACTAGGCTAAGCGGCTGAGGGGGGAAAGGAAGGGGCCTGAGGCTGTGAGGAATGGTGGGACTTGGAGTCCAAAACCCCTGGAGGGAGGGCCCAAGTTGGCCCATGCCTGACCTACACTGTAGAATGAATGCATTTGGCACCCCTTGAACTGCCATGGCTCAGTGGATCCAAGGGAGATATAGTTTTGCAAGGTCTTGAGCCTTCTCTCTCTGCCAAAGAGGGCTGGTGCCTAACCCTAACCCATTCCACCCCATAGCATTGAGCGAAAAAGCAGTTCTACAAACCCCAGAATCTGTAGGAGGCAGAAACCGGATTTTAAGTTGATTCTTTTTCTCTCTCTAGTGTGATGAGGCCCCAAGTGATGCCGCCAAACTGCATTCGTTCTACAGCGGAGAGGCTCTTTGGAGTGATGTGAGCGAGAGCGCCGGCCCCTTCTCTTCCTCCTCCCCCGCTCCGATCGCGCGATAAAGAGGTCCGCACCTGCTCCACTCACCCGTTCAGTCGGTAGGAACCTTGGCGGCTTCAGGCCGGCCGAAGCCCGAGAGGGAGAAGCGCCAGCGGAGCGGAGGAGGCGTCCCAAGAGGCGGGCCCCTCCCCAGTCCACGCCCCAGACCCACGCAGGTAGGGTCCCTTCCTTCTCCTAGCGAGCCCATAGGGATGCAGCTTGCCTGGCACTGCATCCTCAATGTCACACAACCCTGGGAGTTTGGAGAGGCAACAGCCTGCTCAGGCAGAGAGCAGTCCACAGCATGTAAAACTACAAGTCCCACACTTCCCTAGCATTGAGCGGTGAAAGTGGGGCCAGGYTGCCTTCTTTCTACCTAGGACCCTTCCACRCAGCCCTATATTCCCAGAATATCCAGGGAAGTCATGCTACCCATGCTCTATTCCGCCTTGGTCAGACCACACCTGGAATACTGTGTCCAATTCTGGGCACCACAATTAAAGAGAGATATTGACAAGCTGGAATGTGTCCAGAGGAGGACGACTAAAATGATCAAGTGTCTGGAGAACAAGCCCTGTGAGGAGYGGCTTTAAGAGCTGGGCATGTTTAGCCTGAAGAAGAGAAGGCTGAGAGGAGACATGATAGCCATGCATAAATATGTGAGAGGAAGTCACAGGGAGGAGGGAGCAAGCTTGTTTTCTGCTGCCCTGGAGACCAGGACRTGGAACAATGGCTTCAAACTATAAGAAAGGAGATTCCATCTGAACATTAAGAAGAACTTCCTGACTGTGAGAGCTGTTCAGMAGTGGAACTCTCTGCCCCRGAGTGTGGTGGAGGCTTCTTCTTTGGAGGCTTTTAAACATAGGCTGGATGGCCATTTGTTGGGAGTGCTTTGAATGCGATTTTCCTGCTTCTTGGCAGGAGGCTGGACTGGATGACCCATGAGGTCTCTTCCAACTTTATGATTCTATGAAATCCCAAACATTTCTGGTGCCAAGCATTTGAAATAAAGGCTACTCAACCTGTACTACTGTGACACTCCAAAAGCAAACAGGAATTTGTATGTAAGTTGGAACAGGTAGATTTTTAAATGTAACTCCTGCCGTGTGTGTGTGTGTGTGTGTGTGTATGTATATATGTAACATACAGAACCTATCTTGTGTGTGTGTGTGTGTATATAACAGAGTCTCGCTTATCCAACTTAAATGGGCCGGCAGAATGTTGGATAAGTGAAAATGTTGGATAATAAGGAGGGATTAAGGAAAAACCTATTAAATGTCAAACTATGTTTTTACAAATTAAGCACCAAAACATCATGTTTTACAATAAATCAACAGAAAAAACCATTCAATACTTGGTAATGTTATGTAGTAATGACTGTATTTATGAATTTAGCACCAAAACATTGCAATGTGCTGAAACAGCTGTGGATCTGGGCGGGAGACAGACTGCGTTGGATAATACAGAATGTTGGATGAGCAAAGGTTGGATAAGCGAGACTCTACTATATATCCCCATTTCCCCCCAAAACTGAGACAAGGCAGTTCAAAATGGGAACTGGAAAGGCACAGATAAAAACATTTGAAAGTTACACTTAAACCAATTATTTTAAAAAGTGGTTGAATTAAAAGAAATGTCAAAACATCACTACAAGAAGGACAGTACCCACCTGTTTAGCACTGCTCTGTCACCAAAAGCTCATAGCAAAGTGTTGAGTTGCTTAGGAACATCTCAAGCTGTGCTCTGAATCTCGAAAGTGCAATGGGATTTTTTATATCGTTTCCTGCCGAAGCAAACTAACAGGGCTCAGTCTCAGAATATACCTCAAGCTATTTTTAATGCGACTGGCGTCTATATACAGTATGTACATGTCATCTGCAGGACTGTAATCCTGTTTCTGGGCGGAGTTAAGCAATCTGAAACAAACTGAACTGGATCCTAAATTTACATGAAGGTTAGGATGGTTGCTAAAGAGGTCTTTGATCCTTTCCTACCTCTGGCCAAGAAGTTTTTTTCAAGTATCCAAAAATACTTAGCTTTTCCAGGGTGTGTTCACATCTTAATGAAGAAAATTGAAACACAGAGGAATAGAAAGGCTGATAAAGCAAAGACGAAGCCAGCAAACCCAGATCTGGAGTAAACCTATGTGAACAGAGTCCAGAGCTTCAACCATTCCTCTTCCAGCTTGGAGACAGTTCGGAAATGTAATTTTGCACCACCGCTATGTGGATTACACACACACACACACATATATATATGCAACTAAAGTTCAATATGTTTTATTTCACTGTACAACTATAACTGCCAGGATCCCATAACATTGAGCCTAGGCAGTTAAATCTACATCAAGTCTATGGTGTAGATGCACCCTGGGCAATATATGACTGTACCATGCTACTGATTTGCTAATATCACTGGATTCATTTTGGCTTAGCATCTGGAGGACTGTTGGTCCAGACCAAGCATGGGGCACCCCTTTCACCCCAAGGGCTGAATTTAGCTTCAAAGCTGTTTTTCAGTGATGGCTGGGCAAATGGTGAGACCAAAATTACCAGTTGGTTTTAAGTCAAGACTTTTTCTGCCAGCCATTCAGCCCTAACAGAAGCACCTCAACCTTTTGGAAGTGCAACGGGAACTTCATATAAAGGTTCAGAAAGCACCAAATAATATTTTTGTATGGTATTGGGTATTTATATATCATGTCAGAAACGTATTGATGGTACAGTTATAATGCATTTAAAAACACAAACAAGGTTTAAAACTTGCTATTATGCTAAATGTCCTTTGACCAGAAGCTGGCTACTTGGAGTGCCTCTGGTCTCACTGTAAAACGGTCCTCCATTGTGCATGTGGAAGGTCAGACTGCATTGTAGTAAGTGGTCTGTGGTTTGCTCTTCTCCGCGCTTGCATGTCATGGACTCCACTTTGTAGTCGCATTTCTTAAGGTTGGATCTTCATCTCATGGTTCTAGAGCTCAGTCTCTTCAGCACCTTCCATTGAGTTTCCGGGTTTGAGGCTGCCACTTTTGGTCTCTTGCTTGCTGAGGTGTTTCTGCAAGTATCTCTATAGATCTTAGGAAGCTATTTCTTGATTTAAGGGGTTGGCATGCTGGCTAATATCCAAACAGAGGATGGGCCAGAGATGTCACTTCCTTGGTCCTTTCATTGTTGGCTGCTACTTCCCGGCAGATGTCAGGTGGTGCAATACCAGCTAAGCAGTATAATTTCTCCAGTGCCCCCCCCCCCCCGTCTATTAAAATGGTACTCCTTGTATGTGCATCAAGAATTTGATTACATGATAGCATATCAATAAAAATCTAAAAAATTAATGGGGAAACTTTCAGATGAGATTCCACTAAGAATATGAAAGGACGGTACATCTCTTCAGAAAGAGTAAAGTGCATATAAAACCTCAGGAAAAAAATCTCTGTGGCAGAGTAAAGTTACTGATCACATGCAATTACATATAAGTTAAAGTTATTTGAGTATATGCAAATAAATAAAAGGGTAAAGTTGTCTATGTATATCCAAGTAGATATAAATAAAATGAATGCAGGAAATTTCACCCAAAACACCTGTGGAACTATACTATGCTTTGAGTTGCTATGAATTTTCTGGCCTATATGGCCATGTACCAGATGCATTCTCGCCTGACATTTCGCCCACATCTATGGCAGGCATCCTCACAGGTTGTGAGGTCTGTTGGAAACTTGGCAAATGAGGTTTATATATCTGTGAAAGTCCAGGCTAGGAGAAAGAACTCTTTTCTGCTTGAGGCAAGTGTGAGTGTTGCAATTGGCCACCTTGATTAGCATTTAATGGCCTTGCAGCTTCAAAGCCTGGCTACTTCCTGCCTGGGGGAATCCTTTGTCGGGTAGTGTTAGCTGGCCCTGAATGTTTCTTGTCTGGAATTCACCTGTTTTCTGGGTGTTGTTCTATACTATGCTTTACTTTTTATTTAGCATTAAGTTTTAAAAAAATGTTACATGCTAATTGATGGTGAACATATATTTATTGTAAACTGTGCTTGTATTGTCTTCTTTTTGTGAAAACTCAGGTTAGTCCTTCTTTAATATGACAGTGATAACACTGATTTATAGCTCATGATCTCATCAGAGTTATTTGGTTTGTAACAACAGGTCCTTTGACCAATTTTCTGTACGCAGTTTGCTTGCGCACAGGATGGTGGGACGAGACTGTCACCTAGTGGCATTTGTGTGCTATAGTATAGAATTTAAGGACTAAGGATGAAAAGTTAAAACAGGTGTAGGGACCACTCTCCAATGAGATATGAAAATTGCCATAGGAAAATCTATGGGGAGGCCTCTTATTTAATTTTGCATTCAAAAGCTCAGAAGTTAAGGCAACTCAAACTAGAACTGTGCTGAATTCTTCAATGGTCCCTTTCACTAACCATAAAGCAGTGTCATAATAGACAAACTGAGCATGTCCATGCCCTTTCAAACACTGTTTCTGATACTGTCCAAGTCATTAATTGGGGGTTTCTGAGAACTTGATTCTTCAGAGTTTGGGATTTCAACTCCTAGCATTAATCATGTTGGCTGGGATTTCTGTGAGCTGAAGTCCAAAACATGTCTGTTTGTGAGTTTGCCTTCAAGTCGCCAGTCGACTTATGGTGACTTCATGCATTTCATAGGGTTTTCTAAGGCAACAAATACATAGAGGTGGTTTTACAATTTCCATCCTCTAAAATACAGCATGTAGCATTTGGAAATTGCTGGTGGTCTCCCACTGAAGTACTAACCAGGGCCAATCCTGCTTAACAAGATCAGCCAGGCTTTGGAAAATATAGAAGTAGTTTTATAACCCACTCACCTGTCTTTATGCAAACTATTCAATCAGACCTGGGAATTGTTGGATTACAATTTGCAGTAATGCATGCCAGCATAGTTAAGGGTGAGGAGTACTGGGAGTTGCAGTCCCACAAAATCATAGTTGGAAGAGACCGCATGGGCCATCTAGTCCAACCTCCTGCCATGCAAGAAAAGCACAATCAAAGTATCCCTGACAGAGGTTGTGAGGTCTGTTGGAAACTAGGAAAATGGCTTTATATATCTATAAACCCATTTTCCTGGTTTCCACTTTTCAGCAGAAGACATTATCCAGGGGCATCAAGTTTGTTTGGCTTTTCCAAATATGAAGGCTGTAATTCATAGCCATCTTATATCAGGTTGTGATGGTTGCTAAGCAAGGATTGCCATTCAAAATGTTTGTAAGCTTGAGCTTTGTGCAACTTGCAGATTCCCACAGAAGAACGCAGTCACATAGAGCTTGTCTTGGGATTCCTACTGTGTCAAAGAGAAACAAGCAAGGAAAACTATATGCTAGATCAGTGATTCTCAACCTTCTAATTCTGCTACCCTTTAATACAGTTCTCATGTTGTGGTGACCCCCAGCCATAAAATTATTTTTGTTGCTACTTCACAACTGTAATTTTGCTACCGCTATGAATTATAATGTAAATATGCAGGATGTATTTTCATTCACTGGACCAAATTTGGCACAAATACCCAATACGCCCAAATTTGAATACTGGTGGGGTTGGGGGGATTGATTTTGTCATTTGGGAGTTGTAGTTGCTGGGATTTATAGTTCACCTACAATCAAAGAGCATTCTGAACTCCACCAAATAATGGAATTGAGCCAAACTTGGCACACAGAACTCCCATGGCCAACAAAAAATACTGGAAGGGTTTGGTGGGCACTGACTTTGAGTTTTGGAGTTGTAGTTCACCTACATCCAGAGAGCACTGTGGACTCAAACAATGATGGATCTGGACCAAACTGGGCATGAATACTCAATATGTCAGCTCTTGGCAGATTTTAGAACAAAAACAAGCTCACAAGGAAGATTCCTTGGATACACGTTTAATTCGATCTTACCAAAGCAAAGTAAAAGCTAGTTCTAACTCTGTTCCCGCCAAGTGGTTGTATTTTACCTATCCGCCCCATGACCTCCTACTTTATCTATTCTAACGGTTACATTCAATTCCCACAGAAGATGCAGCATATCCCCCCCCCCCCCATAGTCCAGATGGCCCTTATCAGACTCCAGCATTTCACTCCCATACTGTGTCATGGAGTGGATGAGCGGCTTTTATTGATTAAGCTTGGACAGACGCATCCTGACACAATATGCCCAAATGGGTGGAGTTTGGGGAAAACAGACCATGCCATTTGGGAGTTGTAGTTGCTGGGATTTATAGTTTACCAACAATCAAAGAGGATTCTGAACCCCACCAATGATAGAATTGGGCCAAATTTCCCACATAACCAACAGAAAATACTGTGTTTCCTGATGGTCTTTGGCAACCCCTCTGACACCCCCAGGGGTCCCAACCCCCAGGTTGAGAAACGCTGTGTTAGATGAATGATGATCACTGATTCCAAACAGGACACAAATGCTAGTCACTGGAAAGTTTACTTCCATTTTATTTCCACTTTAACAGTTCTTGGATGATACATCATGCAGTCTGCCAGTGTATCCATACATTTTAATAGATAGTATTTCAGAACCAAGATCAAAAGACTTATCTATGGGAAAGGGAAGGGAGTTCCAGGTTTGGTGTTATAGTTTGATTTATTACAACATCTTTTCTAACAGTGGCAGTTTCTCCCCAGGTTGTGACCATCAGAAAAGTACCCACGTTTCATTTTTTATCCCCCTAAAACAAGCTACTGTACAGATACGTCGATCCCAGAGAGTACACTTCTGGAGTACACATTACACACTTTACAAACTAGACATGTATACTTCTACAGAATGCCTGAATTCCTATTGTTCTTTCTTCTACTATTAAAAGTGTTTCAAAAATGGCAGACACAGAAGTATTTAGGAATAAGACACAAACTTGGGAGTGATATGGTGTAAGGGTGCTTAAGACAGAGAGTTGTTCAGTGTGTGTTTAGCTCCATAAAGGCATTAAGTCAAGCTAATTTTCAACACACAGGAGAGAACATCATCCTGTAGGCAGAATTTTTAAAATTGTGGTGTAAATGGCTAGTTTATATTTGGAAAGTGTTTTTGAATTCTCTTGCCCCAAAGAGGTGTGAAGGCAAAAGGCACAGTCCATTACAATCTGCATAACCTCTGCTTCAATGTAGCTTGCTTGGGGAACACACACTCACAGCACTTTCTAAAATAGGGACAGTTTCTTTTCTTTGAGGCCATATGAAATTTAAAGGCTACTTTGGGATTTGTGGTACAGTATGACCTCAGTACCCACAGGACTGATATATAGGTTTTACCTATCTACGTCTGACAAAATAGGCCTTCTCTAAGAATTTTCTAGATCTTCCAGGTGATTTTATGACATGTTTCCAATGGAAGTTATCACAGAGTTGCTCTAGAGGACCTAACAAATCCTGGATAAGTTGCCTAACACAGGCGACAATGGGGGGATTCACCAGGAATCCGTGGGGCAGTGGAAGAACCCGTCACCCCACAACCTGCATTGCCTGCAGTTTCACCTTCGCTGTCACTTGGGGGAAAGCATCGCTGCACGTTGTGAGGACCTCATAACCTCTGAGGGTGCCTGCCATAGATGCAGGCAAAACGTCAGGAGATAATGCTTCTAGAACATGGCCATACAGACCGAAAAACCTACAACAACCCAGTGATTCCAGCCATGAAAGCCTTTGACAATACACAGATATGTAGTTACTGGCTTCACATGTCACCATTTTATTTGCCATCTGAACAAGAGTGATTCATACACAGTCAATGTTTCATGTTGATTCCACATTTCTTTTGGATTTTTTTCTTTCTTTCTGGTACAACTGTTGAAATGAATGACATTTAGGACATCGGGATATTATTCATAGAATATCAAGAGTTAAATTTACTCAAAAACTAGTTGTTTTATAGGAAATTGGAAAGATTATTTGTATTGGTATAAAATGATCAAAAATTATTAAACAAGTTAGGGATAGAATCAGGGTTCCACAGAAAATAAATGTCTTCTGAAGGGTTCTATAACCAAAAAAGTTTGCTCTAGGGCTACTCTATAATAACTTCCACTTTAAGTCAATCATTTCAAAGGAGTCACCATTATCCATAGTTTCCTGTTTCCACACTAAGTTCAGGAATAATTCCCCCATGGAAACAGAGGTCATACTGTATTTTCATAACCACAAAGCCATGTTTATCATCATTTAGATTTTAATCCTAAGTAAATTTTCTAGTTTCCTACATTTTCAAGTAGACATCCCCCTAGTCACTGAGATATGTATGCAGCAAACAAAGACTATTCAGATGTTTTTTATAAACAAATAAATTTTAAATTATTCCAGTTTAGCAGATTTAAGACAGTCCATTCTCTCACATTTGCTTGGCAAAATACATCCTTAGCAAACATAGTTTTGATCTTACCTTTTGTCCTAATGGGAAAAAAATATAAAACTCAATATAAAGTGTACCTGAAGATAACTGTTTTGGAAAGTAAGGGGGGGGGGGGACAACTGACAATTTGAAAAACCAAAGAATGTCACACAGCAATTCTCCCTAACTAGCGTGGCACCTTCACTCATCAGAAAACAGGTGTAAGTCTTGTTTTAAGCAACTTTTCCTTTCAAGATGAAAGAAGGAATTTTTAACATTTAAAAAATGCAAGGAAAAAAAACCCCTCAAAATGTCAATTGTATAGCAGAGATGAAATTTCTATTTTAGTGTACAAAAATACTGCAAAAATAGTGCTCTGAAAGTATGCTAAAACTGTAACTGAGAAATCAGATTTGTAACTCGGATGTAAAAAAGTGACTCTTAGCAGCAAAATAAGACTAAAATGTGTGGACATATTAAAAATACAGCTTCGTGGACTGTAATGCATCACCCCTTTTGAGCCTTTCACAGAAAAACTTGTCTTCTCTGAACCAGGATGGAAAACTCAGTTCCAAGGCTTCAAACACCAGCTAGGTGAACTGACTGGCTGATCAGCAACTAGCTGTTCAGGGCATTTATCCTTAAAGAGGCATTAAAGCTAACCTTCCCACGCTGCTTCAGAGACTCGTATGCAAAACCACAAACTTTACAAACCAGGATACCATCACTGTACCCAATTCCCATTCATTCCTGTGAAGGCTGTCTCATGTATAACATGCTCAGGGGAGTGCATCTATTCTGCTGAATTTTTATTTTGATGAAACACCAAACAGTGTAGAAATAGGCAATGGCTGCTCAGCCAGACAAAAAGCTACAACAAAAAACACTACACAATATGGTATGCATTCACCCTTAAGACCTAGACCCCATCTATGCTGCCACATGATGCAGTTTCATAATGCAGTTCAACTGGATTAGATGAGTCTACAGTGCCACACAGTGCAATTCAATGAAGTCAAACTGCATTCTGAAACTGCATTATATGGCAGTGTAGATGGCGCCCTAGTTTGTATGTTATAATGCAGACTGTTTGATTCATTCTTTGTAAGGCTGGTGTTACATGCTGTTTTAAATGCAATATTTAGACAGTTCCTTATGTAGAACGCTCCCAGTGCATACGGTTTCTCAAACGCTGTTCCACAGAATGCAAACCAAAAATAAACAACAAAATCATACTGCGGTGTCAACGTAGATGTTAAGACAGCTATTTGGAACAATTCCCAAATAGCGGAAATCATTTCAGGCAGCCTTATTGTAGCTACTACAGCATTGAAACTGGCAATTAAGACCCCCCTGATGTAGAATCGGGATTAACAGGAGGCTTCCTGGCACTTACACGTGTAACAAAGAGGCTGGCCACATTAATTCCAGGTTTGGATAGAACAAATTCACATTTCAGTTTACTGGCAGTGCATATACATGTATATGAAGAAGAAAAACAAGATTTACAAAGAAAACCCCAAACTGAACAGAATAAATTAAACAAGGAGAAGCAATCTTTCATTAAATACGTATGTAACAAAAACGTCAACCCCTAACCCCACACATAGTGCAACCCTTAATAAATTAAACAAAACCTGAATATCTCTGCTACAGTGAGAGCTTCTAAGCAACATTGGAACAAAATGTCTGGAAACAGGTCCCAGTTTTTCCAAAGTTTTTGGATCAGATTAATATTTTTAATGGCTGGCATTCACTCCTTCCACCGATGCAACTCCCAATCTATACCTGGCAGGAAAGAGAGATTAGTTGGGCCCCATAAGCAAGATGCAAAGAAATGGTGTCTTAGCTGTTCCAAGATCTAGACTATCCCAGTGAAACTCTGAGATACTCTCTTTATAGCAGCATAGCCAGTCGCTGCTGAAACACCTCTTACAGCCCCATTCCCTACTGTGCATAGCTGGCGATGCAGCATGCCTTCAATACATCTGCATTAGGTCCTATGATGGTGGGGATCAATGGCTCAGAGTAGTTTGTGGTAGCTCCACACGTGGAGGTATATGCTATGCCAAACCATGCTGGATTGAAGTCAAAGCTTAATCCACTAAATATGTTTAGAAGCTCTCAAATGTACCATTGACTAATATATCTATCTATATATACATATAGTCACAGCAGCAACCAGGACTGAATGAATGTCAACTTCAATGTTATCCTTTGAAAACCCATTTTTCTTTAGGTCCATACATTTTAATGTGCATCATAATAAATGTATATGTGTAACATGACAGAAACACAACAGGCAGATTTAAATGGCAGATTTAAAACCTGCCTACATAATATATTGTATTTTCTCTGGTTATGTTTGCTTTCCATAAAAAGAAAAGAAAACCCACTATCTGTCATGAAGACAGAACCTAAAAGAAGTCTATTTATCTTCCTATTGGTTGAGTGAGCTAGAAGTATTCTATCCCTGGGCAGACTTGCATATTGATCAGTTCCAGCATATATTGTTTTACATTTCAATTTCAAACAGAAAGACACCTTCCATCTTTATCTCCATTTGCACTACACACTACGCATGTATACTTGTTAATGCTGATCACCCTCAAGAACATTTTTGCATTACTATATATTGCTATCTCAGCTTTCTGGCTTATAATGGGTTCTTTTGAAATTATAAAGAAATTGAGTTGGGAAGGGCCAAACAGAGTTTAAACTAGTCTTTAATTTTAATTTGAGCCACATTTCTATAGGGTTATTGGAATTTCTGACCAAAGGAAACATGATTACAGATCAAATTCTACATTATGAGATTTGATTACGATGGGGTTGCTAAACTTTAGGATCTACAACTACAACTGTGGCCAGTTTTTACTCATCATTGAAAATTAGCAAAAAATGTCTTGGAAGTCACCTCTGGTTTTCATGTCCTCCTTCTTAAAAAATGAAGTTATGGATAATGCTAAATCAGCTTATTTAGTGGATTCCTGTAGTGATTTGGGCTGATCTGGGCAACGCTTCTCCCAAAGGTATTTTTTACAAAATATTTAAGGAATTTGGGGGCACAGAAGCAGCAAAAAGGGGGAATTGGGGGGCAGCAATCTGCCTGCAGGCCACACTTTCCCCATCCCTGACCTAGAGCTATACTAGTAAATTCCTCTACTTTCCTAGAGTTTGATATCTACCAAGTCCAAAGATTTTATCAAGATATTAGAAACACATCTTTGGGGATTTTTATTTCTTGAAAGCATGTTAGATGGATTGTTTTTTTTTTTCAAACCATATAACTGCACAGATCCTCTAAAATATAAAATAATATGCATATTATACAGGAAGCCAGAAAATCATGACGGAACACAATCAACTGCTTTTGGTGGCACTTGGTTGTTGAATGGTTCATTCTCTGATGCCAGTGTTGTGTGGATGCAACAGAGTCCTTCGGAAGAATGACAAAACAAAGAAGCATATGTGCCAGGATCAATGCCCCAATCCAGCTGGCACAATATAGTCAAACATGGTCAGTCAGTGATAGAGATTGAGCAGCAGACTCCTACTGTTAGCCGAGGTGCATGTGTTAGATACACTGTACAGGGTTTTAGAAGAAAAGTTGGGTTTGAGGCACACTTTCTGTACACATGGAGATTCTACAAAGCTGAAAAATTCTGAAACGAGTGCACTGCAGATGGCTATAGGATGCATACAATGAACAGATGTACAGATCCAATCCAGGGAGGAAAAGATCTAGTGAGCTGATTATGAGTTTCCATATGCGAAATGGAGCCTGGCCTGTCTGAGGAAGAAAAAGTTCAAAATATGTTAATTCCACATTCTGAAAAAATGATACACACATACTGTAACTCTTAAATAAATTGACCTATTGAAAGTTCTATCCAAATTAACTTCACAGCAGGAGTAGCTGATGGGATTAACAATGAGAACAACCTTCTATAAGGGGAGCAACCTGCACCAAGTTCTCTTTTGTATGTTTTGATAACACCGCCCAATCAAAAAAAAAATTTCTTAGTGTCTTGGTTTTTAGGCTTGTTCCTGGGGTTAATTTGGGGCACTAAATCAGAAAATTTCATTGGATGGGCTGCATCTAGTTCCTTAAATATGGTTATCATTATTTTCTGTGGGCGAGCAGATAAGGAGTGGTATACTCTGGGGCGTTAGTTGTGAATTGATGGCAGCTAGTTTTATCTACAGATGGTCTGCGTTTTTAAAATTGTGTTATTTTATATTATATTATATGTGTTGATAATTTCTAGGTGATAATTGTTTTGTACTCATGTAGCATTTACTGTATATACTCCAGTATAAGCCAACCCGAATATAAGTACACTGAGGTACACTTTTGTTAAACTAGTTTCAAAAAGAATCCAAAAAAGAAGGCTTTTACTTCAAGTGTTTCTTTTTTCATTTTAGCTTGTCACAGATAGGTTTACAACTCCATTTATTTTGGGTCTTTTTCTATTATTGTTGGGTAACAAATTGCTTCCTTTTATGCCGTTTCAACCCTAGCTAACTCAAAATGGTTAGCACTGTATTAGTCTCTGCCTTGGGGTTTCTGCGCCTGTTCTGCAGATATGCTGTTGACTCAATCCTTCTTTTTATGCAGATTGCTGTTTTAAGGCACACAAAAGAGGTAAACACATTTTCATGTTGGCCTGAAAGATCCTCAAGTGGCACTAGCATAGAGGCTGTTTACAGAGCTTTTGTTACAGATTCTATCATACATTTTCCAGTTTCTTGTGAAGTGCATGTTATTTCATGGGCAAGACCAGAAAAAGAAGAAAAGAAATATTGCTGCAAGACAATCATATGAAAAATACAGCAAACTATGATCACAATATAGAAAGCAATATTTAAAAAACACAACTACCAAAGTCGGGGAAGATTTAATAAAGTCATCTCTTGACACAAGACAGTCTGAATTCACATATGGCATACAAAAAGAGAGCAACATTTATCTAATGTTGTTACTAGACATGTGCATTCAGGGTAAACTTTGTCCCTTTGTTGGGGGCCCCGATCCATTTTTTGTAAGCCTCCCAAAATTAGGAGGGTTGGTTTTGGTTCTTTTGTTTTGGGGCCCCATTATTTGGGAGGGGGGCTTCCAACCCACTGGCTCCCCATCCTAGCATGTGTTCTTCTTACCTGGTGCCTGCCATTTCTACTGTAGAGTAAGAGGCGCTCAGCTGTAGACACTGGCAGGCATGTGTACTTTCCGAGCCTGCCGGCATGCCCCACCATACACCTTGGAAAGAGAGTGCATGTGTGGCAGGGCGTGGAGGCAGACTGGGAAGACGTGTGTGCCTGCCAGTGCCTGCAGTCAAGTGCCTCTTACTCTAGAGTAAGAGGCACTCAGCTGCAGGCACGCTCCAGGCCTGCCTGCACACCCTGCCACACATGCCTCACCACACTCTCTGAGAGTGTGTGTGTGGTGAGCCATGCAGGCAGGCCCGGAGCATGGCTACAGCTGAGCTCTGGGCCTGCCTGCCTGCACACCCTGCCACACACTCTCTCTCTTTCCAAGGCAAGATGGCACAATGAGTTGCTAACTTAGAAGCACATACTGAGAACACCAAGATACCCCTAAGCTCACCTTATATTTATTTCATGTTGTGATAATATCCTCCTCCTCGAATGGCATGTATGGCTGTTGGAGAAGATGCTGGATAATGTCCAGGGCGTATTGGCTTGGCTGCAAAGATGATCAGAATTGTTTAGACAAGAGATATTTCACTTTCCATTTTATTTCAAAGCTTATCTACTATTTTGCCTTCCCGCAAAAACCTCCACAGCTAAGAGTAAACAGGAGGTAGAAGAAGTGCAAAGGCTGGCTGGCTCCTTTGTTACTTGGTTGCTCAGCCTGCCTCCTCTGGGGTTGAAGTGTTTCTGATGAAACACTGAATTGCTCCCAGTTGGAAATTGCTCCCAGTTGGAAAGGAGGGAAGGTAGATGAAGACTAAAAGGAAAAGGCTGGATGACTCTGCTGTCACGCAGCTGTTCAGCCTTCCTCCTCCCCTCAGCAGATCAGCCCTGTGACAGGGAATGTGCCGGCCCATCCAGCCAGCCTTTGCCTGGGCTCCTGTCCCCATAGCCCCTCTGGTGCAGGGAGGAGTTGGGCTGAACAGTCTTCAAGCCTTTGTGGGTTCCCTCTGAGGGTATTGCAGGCCGCAGTGACTGGCAGACCACAGTGAAGAACCGCCCTGCTATGCTTTCCAATAAATGTAGTGCTATGTTTTTCTAATCACTTCTCTCATGCAAGAAGACTTACCGATCTGAGCAGAGTGTGCTCTCCTTGCCATGTTCTTGGCTCTCACTGCCTCTTTAATGCGATCTACCTCCTGCTGGTATCGCTTCCGATCCCGCATGGCATTTTCTTTGGCTTCCTTCAATGCACTCTCCAAGGCTTTGACTCTCTCTGCTGTAGCCCGAAGTCGTTTCTCCAGCTTAGGAAGCTCACAGCGAAGATCTGCATTATCACGAACCAGCTTTAAGACATTAAAAACAAGGGTGATGCTTAGCCAAAGGAGAGAGGGGGCAGGTTTAAGGGAAAGAATCCCAAAATACAAAAAATATGCTGCTGATCAAAGTTCTTAACTTGATGGTATGGTTGATGAATTCCAGTATTTCACCCTCTTCTCCAGTTTCTCACCCATATTAAAACTGCAACACAGAGTATTGCAAGAAGAAGAAGAAGGAGGAGAAGGAGGAGAAGGAAAAGGAGAAGAAGAGGAGGAGGAGGGGGAGGAGGGGGAGGAGGAGGAAGGGGATGATGAAGAGGAAGAGGAGGAGGGGAAGAAGAAGAAGTCACTGCCAAATAGAGGGGGGATAGATTAAATGTAGCATAATATATTAAAGTGTTCTATTTTCCATATATAAATTTGGTGGATGTCTAAACTGGAACAGTGTTTGTAAGGTGATCTGTTTGGGAAAAGATGGAAAACTTATTTAAAAAATGAAATAAAATAAAGACAACATCTTATTATTTGAGACCTTTTTCTTCCTTTTATATTAGTTTTCATTTTGTTATCCTTTGTATAAAAAAGAATAATACGCTAACTGTAGGCTTTGATAATCTATATCTCTGGTTAAGGGGATGAAGATTATGAATAGTATTTAAATTGAAGAAGTCATGTGAAAAAGATTTTAGAGTCCTCATGGACAAGTTAAACATAAGCCAACAATATCATGTGGCAGCTTAAAAAGCCAATGGGATTTTGGCCTGCGTAGACAGGAGTATAGTGTCTAGATCCAGGGATCTAGACACTATATACTGAAATTGAAGACAGATGTTGACAAGCTGGGAAGTGTCCAGAGTAGGGCGACTAAAATGATCACGGGTCTGAAGAACAAGCCCTATGAGGAGCAGCTTAAAGAGCTGGGTACGTTTAGCCTGCAGAAGAGAAGGCAAGAGGAGGCATGTTGGCCATGTACAAATATGTGAGGGAATGTCATAGGGAGAAGGGGGCAGACTTGTTTTCTGCTGCCCTGGAGACTAGGACATGGAACAATGGCTTCAAACTGCAGGAAAGGCAATTTCATCTGAATGTTAAGAACTTCCTAACTGTGAGGGCTATTCAGCAGTGGCCCTCTCTGCCCCCGAGTGTGGTGGAGGCTCTTTTTTTGGAGGCTTTTAAACAGAAGCTGGATGGCCATCTGTCAGGGGTGCTTTGAATGCATTTTTTCTGCTTCTTGGCAGGGGGTTGGACTGGATGGCCCACGAGATCTCTTCCAACTCTATGATTCTAAGTTAAGATCTACAACCATCATTAGGTAAGTTGGACATGAATGCTGTTTTGGTGTCCCTCCCCCTCTTCTTTGCACTTTGTCTATTTTCTTCTTTGTCTACATAGTTTTTTTGTCTTTTAATGTCTTAGAAAATGTCTAATTGCTTTGAAAGAAAAGCTGTGTGCTAATAGCAAGGGAAGCTTGCATTGTTGAAATTTGCTCTGGGGCTTTTTATTCCCCGTCCACTTTTTCCAAGCCTTTCAATACCATGTTGATCATGCAAGAGTGTCTGCCAATGTGGGTTAACAAGCAACAGCAGTAAGAACCCCACCTGTTTGTGAACCTTTGTAAGTTGTTCAAGATTGTTTTCCAGAAAGGAGATTTTCTGCTTCTGAGCAGCACTTCCACCACCATCATCACTGTCCAATTCCACACTCTGTGCAGGAAAAGAAAAAGAGTTAGATCCAAGCATCTAAACACAAAGAAACGCACGGTATTTGAACATTAACTACCAAAAATTCATTTTCCATCTTTCTGACTTTCTTTAACAAATTTTTGTCTATTTTCCTGATTATCACTCTTAAAAGAGATTTTTCAAATTACATTATAGCAAATAAAGGTTTTATGACCACATTGATGCTGAAAGTGATTTATTTGTTGTTATTTTACAGCAGTGGTGCCTCCAAGTGTTTTGCACTTTAATTCAGGGATCTAAACAGCTGGAGGACCAAAGTTTGAGAATCTTTATTTTACAGGATTAGGATTCACTGTGAGCTTCTTCAAACACCTACAACTAAGAGAAGAAACATATCTAAGTTGAATGTGAACTCACAATTACATCTAGATGGAAACTTCACTATTATGAATGATGGAAAGTTTTGATTCCTGCTTTAAAGTTACAATACAATTAACCAAAGCAATGGAATTTCACTGTATTTTCCTTTAAGAAATAGTGTAGCTGAAGCCATTTCATGAAATTATAATAAAAATAGATTGTAAATATTTTTTTTTCATGTCAGGAGCAACTTGAGAAACTGCAAATCGCTTCTGCAAGGACGTTGCCCAGGGGACCCCGATGTTTTACCATTCTGTATGAGGCTTCTCTCATGTCCCCACATGAGAAGCTGGAGCTGACAGATTCGAACCGCCGACCTTTCAGTCAGCAGCCCTACCAGAACAAGGATTTAATGCCACCAGTAACTCCTGATTTTTTTTTTAAAAAAAGAACACTAGTATTCTTCTAATAATGATAAAATAAAATAAAAGTTATGCAAAAGTTTTCTCCTTTTTTGTTTCCTAATTCCCTTACTTTCTGATCAACTTTTTTCCCCTCACCTCCTCTTCTTCTTTGCATTTTCAAGAGACTTAACTCCTAGCACTTGGATTATTTGTATAAAACTAAGATATGTTCACACTTTACTGCAATACATAGGTACTCTATATAGCATAACAGAATTTTTTGGAGAAAACAAATAAAAAAGCATGTCTCCTATTCTATTATACAATGTTTGCACTGCAACTTACTTTTTTTACTCTGGTGGTGAGGTCCTGAACAAAGAGTCTGCGTAAATTATGGAGAGTCTGGAGTTCTCTAGCCTGTAAATACATATATATACAGACACATGTATATATTTTTTAAATTACCTTAAAGAGATCCATTTCAACTAAGCAATATAAAACTGTTATATGTGCAGTCTTCTTAATGGAAATATTTTAAATACAGTGTGTGTGATGTGAGTTTTCAAGTTGCCTGTTGATTTATGGCAATCCCATGAATTTTATAGGGTATTCTCAGGCAATTAATACTCAAAGGGGGTTTTGCCAGTTCTCCTCTCTGAAATATAGCTTATGATTCCTGGGATTTGTTGACTGTTCCTCATTCAAGGATTAACCAGACCTGTCCCTGCTTAGCCTTCAAACTGGGTCTCATATAGAAAGACAAGAGCAAAACAGTATACTGAGTGGCGTATGGAGTACCACTGATTGTATCTACAAGAACTGATCTCTGATAGAGGAGGCACCTATATAAATTAATGAACATGGTCAGCCTTGACTGTGCTAACCATATTTGGAAGAGCAGATCAAAGTGAATAAGGATTTCTTTCTTTCTTCCTCCCTTGCTAGTCCTCTCTGGGCAAAGGCATGGATAATATTCTCTGTTCTGATCATCTCTCTAATGGGTTCCCTGAGCCATTGTCCATGGAACAGGGCCAGAATCTTCGAACACACAAACTCTATTCAAGCATGAGACGGTGTGTGGCCTCTTGGCAGGATGCGGAGAAGCAAAGATGTGGGGGGGGGGGGGGGGGGGGGGGGGGGGGGAGTGTGCCAGTTCCTCCATGTGTAAAGGGTGACTGTCGGTTGCACAGAGCCTTTTGTATGCTGAATTTATCTGGGTAAATCAGAGGTCTGGGGGGGGGGGGTAATAAACATGGAGATATAGGGAATATAAGTATCATGCTTATCTCTGCTCACTTCCCCATGCACATTTTCTATGCGTAATCAGAAATACACAGCACATACTCATCAATGCTTGGGTATAGACTTGGCACTGTGTCCAAACTGTGTGTCATTATAGTCTTGCTTAAAGATGGCAGAACCTGGAAACTATACACATACCTGGGTTGTTGTGTGTTTTCCGGGCTGTATGGCCATGTCCCAGAAGCATTCTCTCCTGACTTTTCACCTGCATCTATGACAAGCAGCCTCAGAGGTTGTGATGTCTCACAACCTCTGCGGATGCCTGCCATAGCTGCAGGCAAAACGTCAGGAGAGAATGCTTCCGGGAAATGGCCATACAGCCCAGAAAATACACAACAATGCAATGATTCCATCCATGAAAGCCTTCGACAATACATTATACACATATCACCTACTATACATAATCTGGGAGGGATAGCCAATACTCCAGAGGACAGGAGCAGAATTCAAAATTATCTTGACAGATTAGAGATGGGCCAAAGCTAACAAAATGAAATTCAACAGTGACAAATGCAAGATACTCCACTTAAGCAGAAAAAAATGAAATACAAAAATACAAAATGGGGAATGCGTGGCTCGAGAGCAGTATACGTGAAAAAGATTTTGGGGTCCTTGTGGACAACAAGTTAAACATGAGCCAACAATGTGATGTGGTGGCAAAAGAGCCAATGGGATTTTGTACTGCATCAATAGGGATCTAGTGTCTAGATCTAGAGAAGTCATGCTCCCCATGCTCTATTCTGCCTTGGTTAGACCACACCTGGAATATTGTGTCCAATTCTGGGCACCACAATTGAAGAGAGATATTGACAAGCTGGAAAGTGTCCAGAGGAGGGTGACTAAAATGATCAAGGGAGGGAGAACAAGCCCTATGAGGAGTGGCTTAAAGAGCTGGCTATGTTTAGCCTGAAAAAGAGAAGGCTGAGAGGAGACATGATAGCCATATGTGAGAGGAAGTCATAGGGAGGAGGAACCAAGCTTGTTTTCTGCTGCCCTGGAGACTAGGACGCAGAACCTTGACTTCAAACTACAAGAAAGGAGATTCCATCTGAACATTAGGAAGAACTTCCTGACTGTGAGAGCCGTTCAGCAGTGGAACTCTCTGCCTCGGAGTGTGGTGGAGGCTCCTTCTTTGGAAGCTTTTAAATAGAGGCTGGATGGCCATCTGTCAGGGGTGCTTTGAATGCAATATTCCTACTTCTTGACAGGGGGTTGGACTGGATGGCCCATGAGGTCTCTTCCAACTCTATGATTCTATGATCTGTTTATTTATGATTCATAAATATTACTCAAATCCAATTGTTTCCTGAAAATTAATACTCTCAAGGGAAAGTGACTAAGCAATATAAAGCATCAATATAATGAGTATCATTTTTATTATACAGAATGTCATAGCTAATGTTCTTCATATTACATGCTGAGCCCATCAGTTGCAATCCCCATCCTATAGAAGGCAGTAGAGAAGCTCACACCATGTAAGGTAAGTTCCACAGAACTTGACCAGGCCATTGCCGTCTACTTTTCACTTAAGGACACCAGGTTCAAAGCTCCACAAATAAAACTGTATACTATTTTTTTAAAAAGCGTTACTTGAAAGAAAACTGTTTTAGAAAACACTTCTAACCACTGCCTTTCAGGATGGGCATAATAAAATATGGGAAATACACAAAACTGCCAAGTTGGTTCCTTGAAGCTCTTTAAGTGTAGATTTGGTTCAATACATACCACTGTTTCTTCCAGTCCTTTCAGATCTTCTCTAGCTTGTTCCCTTTTATCATTAAGCAATCTAGACCAAGAAAACATAAGCTGCATTTGTAATAAGGCTCCCAAGAGAGAGAAACTAGTTTATATATTATCGAAACTCGGTAGTCATCTTCTAGCATCTGGAACTTCTGCCCCATTGCAAATACAGTCTCGACTAGGGTGGAGGACCTGTGCTTTGGCTGATCCTTCAATGTTTTTTACTTATTATTACAACAATCAAATTTGGAAAGCATAAGACTGAGAAGAGCTAAACTGTTCCAGTGTATCCCTGCATTAGGAACTTCAGCCAGCTGGCAGGCTGATCTCTAGCTAGTTATATTAGCAGATGGCCTGGAAAATGTAAGAGGTGGGCAGTCATTCTCCCAGTTTTCAAACAAACAAAGAAACAACAACACTCAATCCTTCTCTCAAGGAGCAGGACACTAGAGCATGGACTACCCCTGTTTAGGATTTGAACTAGCAGTGACATCTTGCAGAAGCATAGTACTATAAACTCAGCCTGTGATTTCTCTTTTTAATGGCTAAACACAATACATTCAGATAAATAAATGAAATACAGATTGAGCATTCCTTATCTGAAATCCAATTTTTGTCCATGTGATATTGTCCATGTGGGTAGCTGAGATAATTCAATGTGCACAAAACTATAAAAAGTATTATATAAAATGGTCTTCAGGTTATGTCTCTAAGGTGTATATGACACATAAACTAATTTTGTGCTTAGAATTACTCCCCACCTCCATTATGAAAGTACCATATATACTCAAGTTTAAACTGAATTTTCAGCCTTTTTTTAGGCTGAAAAAGTCCTCCTTGGCTTATACTCGAGTCAAAATGATTTATTATTATTACCAGTATATTTATTATTTTACTTTATTTATTATTACATTTACATTATTTTACTCTATTATTCTTTATTACATTTATTATTTTACTCTATTATTATTACATGTATTATTTTGCTCTATTATTTATTATTTTTCTCTATTATTACAGTTATTATTTTACTCTATTATTTATTATTTTTCTCTATTTGTTATTATTACATTTATTCTTTTATTTTATTTATTATTGTTGTTATTATTACATTTATTATTTTACTCTATTACTATTGGAAGGATACTTAAGCACATTTACATTTAAGAAGGTTAGAATAATAGTTTAATCAGAGTTTGAGTCTTATCTTAAATTACAGTTTTATGTGAATACTCAAAAACATTTAACCTACTGGTGCCTCAATTAATGTAATTTACCAGTAGCTGCTGAATTTCCCACTCTCAGCTTATACTCAAGTCAATATATTTTCCCAGGGGTTTTTTTTTTGTTTTTGTTTGTTTTGTTTTTTTTTGTAAAATTAGGTGCCTTGCCTTATATTCAGGTCGCCTTATACTTGAGTATATACGGTATATGTAAATACAGATTTTCTAAAAAAAATTAAAAACCCTGAAATCTCCAACACTTCAGGTCCCAAGCATTTCAGAGAAGGGATACTCAACCTCTTCTACATTTTACTTGGTCCTTCCTTGGTTGTACATAAATGCACACCATAGACTGTTCTGTGATTACTCAGTCTTCACTGGTCCCCTTTAGGAGTCTCTCCTCTACTAAGCCTGTTGCTTGCTGAATAACAGCAGTAAACAAGCAAGCAAAAGGCACTGTGAAGAAAAGAGTATCACCTGCCTTCTCCTTCTATACAAATGGAGCTACTGTTACTGAGAGGACTTTCCAGAAAGATGGAGATGAGATAAGAGCCAGTGTGTTGCAATGGTTAGTGGCCTGGCCTAGAACTTCTGAGATTTGGGTTCTAATCCAAAGAAAGTTCACTGGGTTACTTGGACAAGTCACTATGTCTCTTCTTAATCTGTCCTGCCTTTTGTAGGGAAGATGAGAGTATAGCAAGCCATACTGAGCCCCAATGAGGCTAAATGGGATATACAGGAAATAAAGGGATACAGATATCAATCAACAATGGATGCCGTGATGCAAAGGAGAATAATGAACACTGCAGCTTCAATGACTACCTATCGATGCCAGTCCCAGATGCCATCTCCACTTTTTAAATGCCCTGTTTCAAAAACAAATACAATAGCATTTTCCATGCACTTTCTGGACACCGATCACTCAATATTTTTGTTTTGATCTTCGGCTGAGTTTGGCAGAAACAGAACAGGGCATGCATCCATTTTCATTATATTTCTGCCCAGGACAGGTCAGCCAGGGAAACAAGAGGCAGGCTTAGCCCTAGGCGCCGGGAATGGCTGCCCTGATGGGATGGGAGCTGTCAATCATAGTAGAAGAGACATCTTAGTTTATTTACATCAGCTTTTCCAGCTTCTTCTCCCGTTCTTGGTCTTCAACTTTTAATTTTTCATAGTCAGAGCTCAGTTTTTCTTGTTCCAGTTGCAGCTTCTGGTTCATACTGGGAAAAAAAGACTCGGAATCAAAATGATATTGGAAACCGAGAGAAAAAAAATCCTGCCTTCAAGTGGGCCTAGCAGTTGCATCAAAATGACTCCATAATAACTGGGTGAGGAATTACATAGATAAGAGCATACATATTTTGTCCTTTAATTTACATTTTAACAGAAATGACTCACTGCAATGGTGTTAATAGGGTTGACGTCATCCTGTGCTGTTACTAATGATACTACGCCTATGAACCTCTTCACATACCACACCATTATCAATACTGCAACTAAAATACCAGAAAATGTAACAAACTCAGGGACTATTTGTAAAAAAAAAGAAAAAAAAACTCCAACACAAACAACAGTTTATCTTTGTTGCACATCTAGATGAAATCATTTGATTAAAATTATAATTATAATTGAGTAATAACGATAGTTGTGACCAGAAGACATGAATATTAAAAGGATCAAAAAGTAAATAAACATAGGGTTTTGGCCTTTCATATATAATGATATAGCATATGCAAGCTGGGCTTACACAAATGTTTTTATGGTTATATCTAACTACAGGAATATTATATTTGTAAAATAAATGCATTTTGCTGAAACACAGATGGCCATGCTGGTGTCGCTCCCTTTGATATTATTACCAGTGCCATTTGAACTGGTTACAAAGGTAATACCATAGATGTCCTGCACACTCAGAAATTTTTACAGATATGACATACTGCAATTCCTACTTCATATCTGAACATTGTTTATCTAATTGATGTACGTAAATAATTTCCTTCCTGCATTCCAATATTCCTTTAATCTCAACCATTTCAAATATTAAAATTCACAGAGGCTCGTTAAAGAAAATTATGGGATGTCCTGGGGGGGGGGGGGTGGAAAGCCAACCAGGAGGCACAAGGGTGTACTTACTCTCTGATTTCATCAATCATTTTCTGCTTCTCCTCAATCTCATCTCTCAGCCGAGACAGCTGCTTCTGGTGAGCTTCCCTGTGACTCTCCATCTGCTGTTCCAATGTCTTCTGTTCAGAGATGAGGGAATAAGTGAATAAATAATATGAACCTATCTTCCTTTTTAAAAATAATAATAACTGAAATTGTTTTATTTTGTATTCTTATTCAAAATACTGTCAACTTGGTTAAGAAGTGGTAAGCCCCCCCCCCCCCCCCCAATCTTTTAAAGCAGTGGTTTCCAACCTGTGGTTTGTGGATCACTAGTGGTCCCCAAGAATTAAAATATAGTCCACGACCTCACCAGTACTACACCATTGCAACAAGAGCGACTACTACTTCCCCGTACCTTGGGAAGTCTGATTTGGCCACGGTAGTCCACACTCTGGTTACATCCCGGATTGATTACTGCAACGCGCTCTACGTGGGGTTGCCCTTGAAGACTGCCCGGAAGCTTCAGATGGTCCAGCGCTCGGCAGCCAGGTTGCTAACGGGAGCGGCACTCAGGGAGCATACCACTCCTCTGTTGAGCCAGCTCCACTGGCTGCCAATCTGCTACCGGGCACAATTCAAGGTGCTGGCTTTAGCCTATAAAGCCCTAAACGGTTCTGGCCCTGCTTACCTCTCCGAACGCATCTCCACCTATGAACCGACTAGAACATTAAGATCATCTGGGGAGGCCCTGCTCTCGATCCCGCCTGCGTCACAGGCGCGTTTGGCGGGGGACGAGAGACAGGGCCTTCTCAGTGGTGGCCCCTCGGCTATGGAATGCCTTGCCGGCAGACATCAGACAGGCACCTTCGTTGCTGACGTTTCGGAGAATGGTTAAGACCTGGCTTTATGAACAAGCGTTTGGCTAAGCAATGCAACCAATCAAGGAAGACGGTAAATGGAACATAGGAATGGCACAAGGATTATGAGAACGGATCTGATTTCAACTGAGGCGTTATGTTATGTCTGTTTTGTTGATCTGTCTTGTTGATTGTTAACTGTTGTGGATTGATGTGTTGATCCTGTTGTTGTATTGTTATGTTTTAATTGCACTGTAAACCGCATTGAGTTGCCTGTTAAGGGCTGAAAAATGCGGTATAAAAAATAAAGCAAATAAAATAAATAAATACTTACAAAAAGTAGTCAGCCACGAAACAAGCCACCTGACTGCTACTTCTCCTCCTCCCTCCCCCAAGTGAAGCCGTTCCATGTGGTATGTGGAAGTGGGGGCGCCTTGGTATCTTCATTTTTAGGCCTGTTCCTGGGGTTATTTGGGGTGCTGATTCAGAAAATTGCATTGGATAGATCACATCAGCTCTACATTATTAAATTTGGTTTTCTGTGGGTGAGTAGATAGTGACTACTGGATGGCATATGTTCTGTATCAGAAACTAGAGCTGATGTGGTCTATCCAATGCAATTTTCTGAATCAGCACCCCAAATAATCAAACTGAATCTGATTCATAACTCTTTTGGTACTAATGTTGGAGAGTTGACCCTGGTCAAAGTGGTCCCTGGTTTTAAAAAAAGGTTATGAACCACTGTTTTAAAGCTATTTTGTGAGTACATGCTTTTTTGTCTGTTTTCTTCAGACTGGAGATTCCAGCATGCAGTGTCACAGACTAATTAAGCTTTGATAGATTTAAAGCCTCTTTGGATTTGCAGACAGTGACTAACTCTAGTCAGCCCCAGTATTAGATATGTATATTGATTTGTTGAAGGCAGCAGTGGAAACTGTATGGCCTGCAGGTCACATGCAGCTTGCAGAAGGCCTTTTGTATGATCCCTGGACTCTTCATTTCTTCACACTGAATTTTTTAAAAAGTGTAGCCTGCAGTCATATCGGAGGGAATAGGGTAAATGCAACATATTCCTCCTCTGCCACTAGGTTATAGAGTTCGCGTACATAACACACATGATTTTAGAGTGCAGTTTAAGATCTGGTTTATAGTGTCTTAAACCATGTTCCATTTTTCTTTTACACTGCACCAGCAGTCGAACTGCACTGCACAAATTGCCATGGGGCTTCTCTTCACATATTCACATCCCACGCACTCCATAAAAATATGCCATTAAAAAAAATTCTGTAATACATTCCATCATATCATATTTCAGCCCCTGAGTACTTAGCCTTGTAATCACAATTTCAAGAACATGAATTGGGAAGGGACGTGTCGCATGTGTGTGTGCCCCTTGCTAGCACTGAGTCCAATTATAAAAGCAAAGTGAAATGTACTGCAACTATCCACTGCTCTCTTCTACTGCAAACCTGCCTCTCCTTTTCATGTTGACATGAGATACAATGCAATTGCATGAAGCACAGTCACCTCTCTACCGCCTTACAATCAGACCATGACATTTATGGGCTATCAGATCATAATGCAATTTCTTAGCACAGGGAGAGATGCACTTGATGTATTGTTTAAAAGGACAGAATAATATGCACACCTCCAAACACAATTTTACCCAACAGATCACTCTTGAGAACTATTCATGATAGCAGGGCTTGTAGAAACACAGAGCTAGAAGAAACCTTGGTGAATATGTTACCTTCATCTCCTCTGCATCCTGAAGCAAGGTTAAGTGTTCCTTCTCTTTATCTTTGACACTGACTTCGTGCATTTTTTCTGTTGACATAAATAGTACAGCTAAGCAACTTTTGTTTAATATGATACAATTTTAACAATATACCACCAAATTCAGTTAAGATTCTGTGACTGGACGTGTATTTCTCTTGGCCTTTTTTTTTACCAGTGGCAGCAAAATAGAAGGGAATCAACTTTCCACAATGACAGCTCTTTTGATGGAATAATGTATATATTGGCCACATCTAGCCTACCCTCTTCCAGATGCCATGGATATCTTCTCCAGTGCCAATCGTCTTACTATATATATTATTTAAAGAAATAGAGCAGGAACCCATAATGTACTTAAACTAGATCCCACTGCCCATTGACAGAACTAGAGACCTTTCTCCCTTCTGTAATTCTTGCTAGACGGGCCAAGATCTTTATAAACATTTTCACAGTACACAGAGGACTAAAAGGGAGAAGGGGATTGCTGATTCATGTGGATGCAGTCGGACCTAGCTTAAGTACCCCGTTAGATGCTGGACATAATAATCTGTCTATGGTTCCCAACCCCTGGTCCTCAAGGTGTTTTGGACTTTTGAAACTGAAACTGAAATCCCAATCATCTGGAGGATGAAAGGTTGGAAACCACTGCTGTATGTGATAAAGTCATCCTTTTCCCACAGTGCACCCAATAGCTGCTGCTAATTCAGAATGTAGAAAACATTACAGTTGATTTCTGAGCTCAACTCAGAATATCAGAAGCAGTCCCCGGCATGGATCCCTAGAAATCTGAACAAGTAAATGCCAATAAACATTGAAAGGTAGGACACAAAGCTAAGGAAGTATATAAACTAACAAGCAAATGATTATGTGATGAAACAATGTACAATTATTGCGAATGAACTATTTTAACATAGCTGCCAGGAACAGTTTGAGTTCTTAATTTTATCTTCACTGTACCTACTTCCACAGAGTTCACACACAGTTGAGTCAAATGACAGAGCTCAAACAGTGTATTTATTTTACTCGGAATGAACTAGCATGTCCAACGTATCTTGCCTGGCTCCAACAGCACTGGACTCTGAATTAAGTTTGAGATTTAACTAATTTGAATTTTTTTAGAGTATCCTTATTCCAGGAAAAGAAAAGTGACTGCAGCTTCAAATTGGAAGAGAAAAGCTTCACTAAAGTTCAGCATCCATTGCTTGTGGAAGAGGAGAGGAAATCCACACATTCTATCGTTGGTTCTCCACATATGCAGGTTTAACTTATTAGAATTTGATTATCTGTGAATTTGATTAATATGTTCTTTCTAGGAATCACTATTTCCTATAGCATGACTCTGGAGATTTCTAGAGAGAATACTTCTATAAGCATTGTAGGTCCTTCAGCATGATTATATGGTCAATGTTTGGCTGAAACTGACCATAGAATCCTGCTGGGGAACAAAGATGTGGTCCCTCGGGTACAAAAAAGTAATATTTGTCACTTTTCCAGGAGTCTTGCAGAGGAAATCCCAACAAAAGCCGTGGGCCTACTGCATATGAAATATTCCCAGACCTTGAAAACATTAGTACCTTGAGCACGCAGTTTGGCCAGCTCTTCACTAAGTGAGTCCTGTGACTCCTCCAGTTGCCTTCTCTTCTGCTCCATATTCTGCATGTAATCTGTGAGAGACTTGATCTTGGCTTCATGCTTTGAAAGAGAGCAAGAAAACAAACAAGGAAGCAAAGGGGCATATGTTTAATGAAAAAAATGTAAGCAAATACAAAATTAACCAGTGGGAAGGTCTGGGGGTGAGAGAAAGAGGATGATAATCAATAACCTGTGAGATGAGAAGCTGGCAACCAGCAAGCTCTCTCTCGCTGGCATTCATCTTCCTATTGCAGTCTATCTGGGCACTCTCCAGTTGCTTGCTACGGTTCACCAGAGATTTCACCTCCGACTTCATCTTACTGATGTAGAGCCTTGCCATGGTAAACTCCTCTTCAATCACTCCATTCACATCCGCTAGCTGAATATGAGAGCAAGCATCGTACAGCATGTTTACCAATAGATTCCACTTTATTACTTTGATTGAGAATCACAATTCTGTTAGACTTTATAAAAATATAGGGCAGATCAAAGGATAAAAGGAAAAGAAACAACATATGGTTGTGGGTTAGACAAACTAACCATGAGAGGTATTTATTTTCTTGAAGCCAACGGTAATAAAATACACGTTCCTACATAGCCAGAGTAGTAAGATCTTTTGACAGCTGAACAATGGATCATGAAAGTTTATCTTTTCAACCTTGGTAATAATCAAGAATCCAACCATATAGACCATCAGTTAAATTCCAAGTTGCAAAATTATCATTTAGAAGTATATATGTGTCTCCATGTTTACATTAGATACAGAAATCAGTTTGATTTGAAATGTTCCTCCCTTGTTCCTGATACCAAAACCCTGAATCTCCCTCCCAAGAGAGACATAACTTGGGCAACTCCATGCTCAGTATCAAATACCAAATTTTGATATTTTTATTCTGTCAGACATGTAAAGGTTCTAAAAAGCTCTGAATGTTTTTGCAAGTTTCTGGACTGCCAGAAATGGGAACTAAATTGCTACTTGACTGTTTACTTCACTGTGAGCATTATACATCAGTCATTCATTACAGTCTAGATTACATTCTAGTGGATTGCCCTGTTCAGTTTTGTGATGTTCAAAGACAAAACAAATGTATTGTGGTATTAGTTCCCATGGGCTGAAAGAGCACTTCAGATGCATCAAGTGTTTTCATTTGGCGTTTCCTCTTCCATTGCAAAATGTGTGACACATAAACTCCAATGCTCTCTGGATTTTTCATCTGAAAGTGGTCTCTGCTTGAAATAAGCATAAACTAGCTTTCAATGCTGTAAATCTGTCTTGGGTTCATTACGCTTCTAAGCTGCTTATCACAGCAGGAGCACAGACGTTGAAGAAAATGCAAAGAAAATATTGCATTAATCAAATTATGACTGTATTTTCAGTGCTGAAGGTAAGAAGGTTTGTTCTACCACTGGTAAGACTGGAAAAGGCTCAAAACCCATCTATGCTAAACTGCTACAGCCCAATACATCTTTGTTACGATTGAAGGAACTGTGCATAAATGTATATCTCAATCTTCTAATTACTAATATAGCATCTAATATAGATAGACAATACCCTGGCTGAGAGTCTTTTGAGAGGGTCAAGCTATGAATCACACACAATTATTTTAATTCATACTGATGCAGACACCATTCAGAATCCACCTGCCATCCTTCTGGATTGATTTTGTCATTTGGGAGTTGTAGTTGCTGGGATTTATAGTTCACCTATAATCAAAGAGCATTCTGAACTCCACCAATGATGGATTTAAACCAAACTTGGCACACAGAACTCCCATGAGCAACAGAAAATACTGGAAGGGTTTGGTGAGCATTGACCTTGAATTTTGGAGTTGTAGTTCACCTACATCCAGAAAGCACTGTGAACTCAGTGATGGATCTGGAACAAACTTGGCACAAATACTCAATGTACCCGAATGTGAACACTGGTGGAGTTTGGGGAAAATAGACCTTGACATTTGGGAGTTGTAGTTGCTGGGATTAATAGTTTACCTACAATCAAAGAGCATTCTGAACTCCACCAACGATGGAATGGAACCCATCTTGGCACACAGAACTCCCATGACCTGTTGGTCAGAAAATACTGGAAGAGTTTGGTGGGCATTGACCTTGAGCTTTGGGGTGTTAGTTCATCTAAATCCAGAGAGCAGGAGGAGGGTTTCTGGTGGGAGATTTTACCATCTGCTTCCAAAAAGAAAGAGGACAGGTGGAGAGATCTTCAGCCTTCTCTACCAAAGGGGTTCCTAAGACCATCAGAAATATATGTTTTCTGATGATTTTTGGTGACCCCTCTGAAACCCCCCTCATGACCCCCTCCAGGGGTCCCAACCCTCAGGTTGAGAAACACTGCACTAGTGTATATACAGAAGGTTGCCTAGATGTTGAAGGGGCTGCTGTTCACCTGCTTTTCCTTTTCTTCCCCTCCTACCTTATTCACCCCTTCCTTCCTTCTCCTTCCCTTTCTTTCCCTTTTTTTCTCTTTCCCTCCTCCCTTCCCCTTCCCTTTCTCCAGCTCTGAGAGGGCATACCTCACAATGTCTTCCATGATAACATGGCTCTTTATGTGACGCCTTCCTTCCTTCCCCTCACACACGTCACCTTTCCCAGTGACCTCACAGAGGGACACTTCACCTGGCAATACCCTTTGCAGTACAGACAAATAGACATACTTTGACTTTTATATACAGAGATTTTAAAATAACCAACACACCGTTTTAACATCATTGGTACCAATAATTCCTCCAATCTCTCCCAGGTCCTTAAGCAATAAATTCAAAATTTCAGTAGCTCTCTTTTTCTGGTGATTACTGAGCTCCTGCAGTTGTCCCAGCTCTCTCTGCGTCGTGGTCAGGGCAGACTGCAAAAAACAATGCATGGTTGCATTAACCACCAACTCCAACTTTGTCAAACAATAATCAGGAAATTTTTCACCTTTTTTTACAACAGCAGGGTTTTCAGTCATAATAATAATATTATAATAATAAAACTTTATTTCTAGACTGCCCTCTCTCCCTGGAAGGACTCAGAGCAGTTATTCCAGCATACATTAAAAGTTAAGTTCATCTGCCTGAACCCTCAAGGGTATGGACAGTCACAACCAATCCTATAAAGCAGCCCCATGTTTATCACCAAATTTCATTCATTTCATTCAATACATACAATAATTCATATATGAACCTTTATACTGATAAGTTGTGATTTTGCTCTTTGTTTGTTTTGTTGCGGTTGTCGCTAATAGATTCATTCCCTTTTGTCCCTCTCAATGTGCAGATCTCTTTCTCACATCTCTTCTGCAGACTGGAAATAGACTGCGCATAAAAGCTATACCCATTGTGTCTGTATTTTATTAGATATGGCATCTGATTTTATACTTTCGGTGCCCTCCTGTAGGAGTTGTTCCTAGCACCAATATTCCCAGTTTTTCCCGTTGCCAGGCTCAAGCTTTGGAGGTGCTTATTTTGGAATCCCTGCAGGCGATTTTAAATTTGTACTTCCCTGAAGAAGGCCATTAAGTATTTCTAGGCTGAAATGTGTTAGGCTATTTTTAAGAATAAAGCTATTTTTTTTAACACTCTAACACATTGATTCTTTTCTATGTCCCTTCCATTGGGTGTTACTATCCTCATGGCTTTTTTGCACTAAAATGAAAATTACTAAAATGAAAACTCTTCAATAATAATAATAATAATAATAATAATAATAATAATAATAATAATAGGATTTAAAGATCAAACTGCAAAGACTCTGGAACAAGCCAGTAAAGATGATCCCAGTGATGAATGGTGATTGCACACTGAGTGCAGTGACTAAAGACCTTGGCCTGCATTTAAATACAATCGGCGCTGACAAAATGACCATCTGTCAGCTGCAAAAGGCCACCCTATTCGGATCTGCACGTATTATTCGCCAATACATCACACAGTCCTAGACATTTGGGAAGTGTACAACGTGTGATCCAATACAATTGCCAGCATAGTGATCTTGTTCGCTGTGTACTAATGTTGTTGTATTTCAAATAATAATAATAATAGTTTTATTTATATCCCATCACCATCTCCCAAAAGAGACTTGGGGTGGCTTATAAAGCATGTGCTAGTGCAGCAGAATAGACAGAATACAGTAAAATACTAAAACAATGACAGTATCAATTACCACAAAACAAATATACATATAACAGCATATAAAAACCAAAACAATTGCTACTTTTAGATGACTGAACCAGTTTTTCTGCCTCTCAGTTTTGTATTGCAGTGATGTTTCAGTGTCATACTTTTTTTATTCTACTGTCAGATTTATCTGTATGTATACTGAAAATCTGGCTTACGTATTTTAAAACAAACAACTAAACTTGGAACACAGGTATTTTCATTTCTTTTTAGTTTATATTATTATGAGATGCGCTAGATGTGGTGTGTTCAGGAATGCAGAATTGCTGGAGAAGAAACTATTGAAGACTATATTCATTTTCTACATATTTCCCACATTTCTAAACAATTCTTTATTAGAAAGGGGGGAAATTACGCTGAATAAGAATAGAAAAATACATCCGTTCTTTTTATAGAATATCAGTATGAAACCAGAATACAAACAACCATAGTTCAAAGAACAAAAAAAAATGCTTGAACTAAAATGTCAGGGAAAATAAAAAGGTCTTCGCCAAGTGCCAGAAAGACCACAATGGCAAGGGCATTTGCTAACAAGCATGAAGATACATGGATCAACTACTACTTAAATGTTACTGTAAGTCAAGTTTAATTAAATTCTTGTTAACCATTTTTTCAGCAAAGAAAAAAAATCCTTCCCTATTCTTTTCCCTTGTGTTTCCCTCTATCTCTGTGATACACTCTCCATAGGCACAAAAACAAGTCCTATTTCCCAGTGGAACACACAGAATACTTCCTTCTCATATCAGATCTGGAAGAACATACTTAAACATGTAAGATATAGGAAGAGATGCACAATTTCAAGATTCAATTCAAGGACAGGAAGGCCAAAGCAAAATGCTAACTTCCATATTCTAATGCTGCAAAAAAGTGTGGCGATTTACATCCAGCGCATAGCAGCTTGCTAAAACATCCATTTCAACCACCCCAATTGCTCTGAATGTAAAAAATGACTCCTTCCATTTAGTTCTGTGTTTACCCATTAGCCCAGAGATAAGCAGGCATATCAATGCATGCATGCATTCACACACACAAATATTCACACTAGAAAGAGAGAGAGAGAGACAAAAAGAGAGATCAAGATGATTAAATTGTCCCTACTGTTTTCTGGGCAAGTTCCTCTGCCAGCTGTTCATTAGATCTCAACTTGTCCTCCACTTCTTGTGACTTCTGGTCATAATTAACTGCCAATTCCTCCAGAGCCTGAAGGACTTCTTTCACTTCTTCTTTAGCAGCTTCATTCTCAATCTGAAGACGGGTGAGTTCCTCTTGGATCTTCTCATAATCCCTTCTTGTGGAGGCCAAGAGCTGCAAAGAGAAGGACACATGACAGTACCATAATGCCTGGATTAGTAGACAAACCGAGGTGAAATAACCAAAAGTATTTAAAATGGCAGGTGACAAATGATATGCAGATTGAGTATCCCTTATGCAGAATGCTTCTGACCAGACGTGTTTTTGGATTGTTTTTTCAAATTTCTGAATACTGGTATTTGCATATAAGCACATGATAAGATGGAGTCAAATTTAAGCATGAAAACAATTTATGTCTCATATACACTTTATACACATAGGATGAAGGTAATTTATACAGTGTTTTTAATACTTTGGTGCATGAAAACAAGTATCTGTACAATGAAACATCAGAAAAAGGTGTCACTATCTCAGCAATCTATGTGGACAATTTTGGAGCATTTCAGATTAGAGATAAGGGATGCTTAACTCGCACAGCAATGTTGAAATAGGTTTGAGGAGCATGGATAGATGTTATTTTCAGTGAAGTAGTAAAAGGAGAAAGAAGTACAAAAAGGACTATTAGTTTCCCCTCATAAAAGGTCTTCTAAACCTGATTCTTTGCAGCATCTAACAAAAGAAAACATAATTGTAGGCTAACCTACAAGAAACTGTAGTTGAAGCCTTAGAAGAGGAATGCTAACATAGTTCTTAATAAAAAGCCCAACAAACATGCAAACAAGTGAAGGAGAAAATATACATTGCATGTATATACTCTAATCAGCATTACAGCAAACCAAGTCAAATTCAATCTATTTAGTTTAGCAACAGGTTTACACAATAGCAGCAACTATTTTTCAGCACTTCACTCTGCATTCAAAGCATTTGGTCTGAATTATGAACCTTTCCTGCTAAATTTGCATTTTCTTCCCCATGTCTAAAATAATAAGAGAAGAGTTTATAATAATTCACCTTAGCACATAATCCCCTAAGTGTATATCAAACCATACATAGGGTTGTTGTAGGTTTTTGGGCTGCATAGCCATGTTCTAGAAGCATTCTCTCCTGATGTTTCACCTGCATCTATGGCAGGCATCCTCAGAGGTTGTGAGGTCTGCCATAGATGCAGACAAAACATCAGTAGAGAATGTTTCTCGAACATTGCCATAGAGCCCGAAAAACCTACAATAACCCAGTGATTCCGGCCGTGAAAGAATTCGATAATACATTAACCATACATACTGTGTGAATTTGGGAAAAACATAGCAATAAAATACCAGTCATAATTTCAAAAGTGCTTTGGACCTGCTCTTTATATACTCAGCCAAAAACTAAAATTCTAGGGTGTATTTTGACTCATCTACAATTGAATGCTGTTTCAGAAAAGGTTTTGTACCTTTTGGTTGACACTAAGTCTGTGGTTACTTAAAAGGTGCCTTTTATTTTGCCCTGACAATACTGAAAATCCGGGCAAGATTAATTACTGATATTGCAGTACACTGCTGGGGATGCTATTGTGTGGCTGCTTATATTTAAAGCTTTCTTCTTTAAATCTACAATAACATTGAATTTTACTTGGTTTCTAACTATGCAAGAGCTAGTTTATGTAGTATTTTAATGTTGCATTGCTTGGCATTTTATAATTTTATAATTGGGTTTATATGAATTTACTTTTTTTTATGTCAGGAGCGACTTGAGAAACTGCAAGTCGCTTCTGGTGTGAGAGAATTGGCCATGTGCAAGGATATTGCCCAGAGGACGCCTGGATGTTTCTGATGTTTTACCATCCTTGTGAGAAGTTTCTCCCATGTCCCCACATGGGGAGCTGGATCTGCCAGAGCTCCCTGGATTCAAACCTCTGACCTCTGCTTCAGTCCTATCAGCACAAAGGTTTAACTCATTGTGCTACCAGGGGCTCCTTGCATTTACTTGTTTGTTCTGTATGTGAAAGTCCCATGGTCTACTAAGCACTGAATAAAACTGAATCGAATTGAATTGATACAGAAGCAGTTAATGGCAAATGAACCTGAGAGTTATTATAATAGCCTGTTTCTTTTCTTAACACTTATGTTAGCAAAATCTCTTCTGGCTTAATCAGCCAGGAATAAGTGTTCTGGCTAATTAAGAAAGACCATAGTTAAGGCAGGCACACTGTATCTGAGGTGGAACACAAACAAGTGTAGAAAGTGCCATGGAAGACAACAAACAGGGGAAAAAGCCTGCCTAAAAGGTGTGTGTGTGTGTGTATTGCACTCAATTCCAAATCACACTGTTTGCTTCTAAACATCACTTGCAAAGGATTTAGAAATATAATCTTCAATCATCCCAGAAGTCTTGTTGAGGAAAGAATTGAAGAGCAGTAGCTGTGTGCATCAACGTCTCCCCTCCTGAACTATGAGGCCGGCTAGTTTTGTTAGCCAACATGCCAATTCCTGTCCACCTGTTCTCTTCCTAGGCTGGCAACTCAAGTACTGCAGTTGGTCTCTCTTAGGATGCTGGACTTATCCATGTGGATTTACTTGCTAAGCACTGTTTTCAACTAAGCAGTATTGTATTCGCATGAACATTTTTTAAAAGTCAAGGGAGAAGTTCCAGAGGTTATTTTGTGGTAAGAAGGCATTCTGTACCTGCTTGTCACTAGACACAGTAAGTGCAGTGAAACAGGAGTATGCTCTTCCTTTTTTGCAAAGTAAACCATAATCTATATAGCCCAGAAAATTCACAGCAACTCACTAAACTATTACCCAGCAATATCATTACGTTTAAAGCAAGACCAGGGTAGCTACTCCCTGTAGTAGCAGCACTATAACTATTAAAATTCTGATTGATTTTGTTTGGCCAACATATCAAGGTAAACCAACCTGATCTACATATTCCAGGCCAAAACGGTCCATTTCTGTATTGACATATCCAACTTTTGCAATTCCATTTTCAGCTACAACAACCTATCCAAATGCATACAATCTCCATATTTTAAATATTTTTGTAAACAAAAAGATACATTAAAGCATTGTTGTCTAAAAATAATCTGGAAATAATCTGGAAAATAATCTGAAACACACTGAAAATTGGTCAACCCATGCATCTGTACAACTACAAATAGGACCATTCACCAAAACGAACGCCATCACAATTGTCTTCATTATTTGCACTCCTATTTACCTCATCTTGATCCAACATCTGTTGCTTTAGTTTCTCAGCCAACTGACTCTGTTGATTGATTTCATCATCCTGTAATAGAAAAAGGAAGTTTCACTTTATATTTCTGCTATATTTTCACTTGAGACAAATATAAATGACAGGTGACATATTTTCTAGCTGATTTTAATTGTTGCACAAAGAAGATGTCTAGGAACAATTCAGTTGTGAGAACATGAACTTGCAGTCTCCAGGGGTATAGCCCAATGCTTCTCAAACTATTTGGTGTGTGTGGGGGGGGGGGCAATGTTTTTTTCCCCCTTGTGCCAGGGAACAGCACTATATTTGTGCCAATTGGCTACAGCTATTTATTTATTTCCTGGAAGCTTGCCAGGGAGTAACAGTCAATGGCTCACAGACTAGCACTGCTTGAGGGACCACCACTCTGAATAGCATGGTAGATAGTCCACACACTATTTTATAACTACAGTGAGCACTAAGCTCCAGATCAACATCATAATCTGTATTTCTTATGCAAACTGTCTAGCTACTACTGTCTAGGTAACATAAAACATGAATAATCTTCCCTATTTTTAATGTAAAACAAAGCAGAAACTTTGTTTAAAGAAGAAAGCCAAGTGAAAGCCTGTGTTTATATTACTTAAATCCCTTCTTGTCCCTGAAATAAGAGGTTGTTTACTACGTTAAAGTACATGTGCCTGTTATTTGTTCAGTACTGAAAAGTATTCCATTATATAACAGCAGTGAAGAACATGTTACTTGCCTGTAACTGTGGTTATCTGAGTGGTCATCTGTGCCCTCACACAAATGGGTCTCACGTCTGTACAGACCCACACGTGTTCCAGAGGTAAACAGCTTTTGGCAGGAACCCTGACCCTTTCAGGCACAAATATGAATAGTACCAAGAGCTGTTCCCTCTCAGTTCTGCTATCTGTGGATAGTAAGCCAGACCTGCAGAAAGAGAGGGGGGGAGGGTTGTGTGAGGGCACTGATGACCACTCGGAGAACCACAGTTACAGATAGACAATCTGTTCTTCTTCTTCATGTTCTCCACGCCTCACACAAATGGATGATTAGGTAGATTACCATGGAGGCAAATCAGTTGAGGACCAATGACAGCACTGGCCTTCCAAGGAATGTATCAACCTAAGCTCTACTGTTGCACTGGAAAAAGATTTAAGACCAAATCCCAGTACAAGCAGTCCCCAAGTTACAAACAACCGACTTACAAAAAACGCATAGTTAAGAATGGGGGTGACCCTGGGAGTGGACATCAGAGTCAGCAGTCTTGCTGCCACAGGAAACATATTTTTAAAAAACTACAAGACCATCAAACAAAACTTGGGGTTGGTAAGGGGGGAAATGGTAACAGGTACCCCTTTTTTGTACAAAGAGAAACAATGAAGCGAATAACAATTAATGGGGGGGGGGCTAATCAATACTAGAAGCTCTGTAGATGTAAAGACAAAGATGGACAAAAGGGAACACGATGGGAAATAGTAATTATATTTGCACCTGAATGGGGTGAGGTTCCCACCAAAAGCTACTAATCTCTGGAACATTCTGTGTGTGAATCTGCACAGGTGCAAGACTCATTTGTGTCAGGCACAGAGACCACAAAGAAAAACCCAAAGCTCATCAGGTTTTAAAATACAGATTTCAAATCATCTACTGTTTGAGGAATGGGGTGATTTTGCTGATTGTGACAATATTATTTGTACACAAGACTGCATCAATATCTGACATCAATATCTGACAAAGAATAATTCAAAGGAAATTGTTTATAGATACCTTATCATCCAATTGTCTGTAGAGACTGGTGATCTCTTCCTCAAATTTCCGCTTTTCCTCCACTGAAATACTGGCAACAACAGGCATAATGTTATCGATGATGGGCGTGTTGTCACATGGCTCCAAGTTCTTTTGGTCCTTAGCACTGATCTGCTCATCCTCAGGCACAGCCTCTCCTGCAGATATATGTCATCTCAATAGAATCAGCCTTATAATTGGGAGTTCACTGAGCAAATTTCCAAAGACATTTTGAGAGCTTAGTCTACAGGAATTATCTTTATAGGTTACCATATCTCAAAATGACATGAAATCAGATGTAAATTCAGTTCACCATAAGGATCGCAGTTAAGTTGTCAGAATTATTTACTGTTGGGACATAAAAGATGTTTTGGAAATTGTCCCTTATCAACCATGAATTCACAACACATACGATTATTGTATTGTAAAATTCTGACACTATACAAATATTTTTCATCAAATATGCTGCCACCAGGGAAATGTCATTGTGCTAATAAAGAATGATCCCATGCACCATTGTGACCTGAGTCTCCAGAGGTGTCAGTGGAAAATACATTGCGCAGGAACTTGCTAAAAGAAGCTGATTGCTACACACAATTCAGGAAGGATGAAAAGACGGTAATTAGAAAGGAATGGATTACTTTATTTTATTTTACATTTATTCAAAACAAATAAAAGAACAAAGACAATCAGTAAAATTGTTATTATCATTTGTGATAATAACTACCAGGGAAACTAAATTGACAGGAGGATATCTTTGTCTCCTAAAACTTAATGTTTGAACTCTGATACTTAATCACATGTACAAAATATAACTATAACAACTCATCATTTAATGTTTGCTCTGATAATGAGCATCATTAATCTTTATGATCACTAACTCCCTTACCAGACTTAGCAACAAAATAGAAAGTAATTTTAAACTGACTTGCAATTATCTACTGCTAGCCGTCCCCTGCCACACATTGCTGTGGCCCAGTCTGTGTATATGTGTTTTGTGTGTGCATATGTGTGTGTATATATTTGTGTATGTGTGCATATATGTGTGTTTGTGTGTATATATGTGTGTGTGTGTGTGTGTGTGTAATTTTGCGCATGCGTTGTAATGCAATTTTTGTTTTTTGGCTTTTTAAGTCTCTTCTGCTGTGTTTTTCAGTGTTTTTATGAGTGATGGTTACTCGCTGGCCTGAAAGGTGTATTGTGTCCAAATTTGGTATCAATTCATCCAGTGGTTTTTGAGTTATATTAATCCCACAAATGAACATTACATTTTTATTTATATAGATGAAATGCATTTGCTATGATTTTTTTCACAGCTCCCCCCCCCCCCCAAAAAAAACACCCCTTTCCACAAACCCTTATACAGAAGTTCAAAATGAAAGTGTTCATGTGTGCTTATGTTGTATATTGCTATATGGCAGGGGGTTGGAATGAATGCCCTTGTGGTCCCTTCCAAGCCCAAGCATCTATGATTCTATAAAAAGGTAATGGTTTCCCCTTGACATTAAGTCTAATCATGTCCGACTCTGGGGGGTGGTGCTCATCTCCATTTCTAAGCCAAAGAGCCGGAGTTGTCCGCAGATGCCTCCATGTGGCCGGCATGACTGCTTGGAGCACCATTACCTTCCCGCAAAAGAGGTACCTATTGATCTACTCATATTTGCATGTTTTCAAACTGCTAGGTTGGCAGAAGCTGAGCCTAACAGCAGGAGCTCACCCCACTCTCCGGATTCGAATCGCCAACCTTTCAATCAGCAAATTCAGCAGTTCAACAGTTTAATTTGCTGCACCATCAGGGGCTCCATAATTCTATAAATAACTTAATTCTACAAAATTCCAATTTAAATGTACAATTTTTAAAAAAATGAATTATTCCCCCTTTTTGGCAAATTATTAACTCAGTTCATAACTAAATCGATTTTAATTTGTTAGTTTATAATGCAGCTTTGGTATAACTTATAATCACTCAAAGTTGTTTGCATGGTAACTATGTGTGAGCTTCTAAATATACACAATAAGAAAATCCTATGTAATTCCATTCATGTGTTTATTTACTTTTGTTCTGTATTTTACTGGAATGATCATTTGTGTACTTGCAATGCAGCAGCTTCTGAATTATTGCAAAAGCTGTAAAGTTTGTTTTTCTGTTCAGACAAACAAGCCAATTTGCAGAACCATGGATGGCAATCAAATTTCAAACCATATTTTCTGATTTGAATTTGTTGGAAGACAGCAAACAATAGTTTGCCAGTTCAGACACCTTGCCAAAAAAGAATTTAGTTTCCTTATCCATAGTTCAGCATATCATCTGTACCCGAGTTTCCTGTTTTAGTGTAGGATGCCACGCCAACAGTTTCAAAACCAACAGTTCATGATGCCAAGAATATTATTAATGGCTTTAGCACAGACATCTCATCTTGTTTTAAACCAGAATTTCCCATTATGCCCAAAATGAAAAGCTTCAATTTAAACCTTGTTAACTGGCTTAGGTATGAAGTAATTCATCACTGTAATAATGCTTTGCCTAATCAGGAATGTTCACTGTAATTTATTTGCTGTGGTATTGCAATTATTTGGCAATCTTCCTTTTTAATTTCAGAGCCTAACAGCTGCCTAGTAATTAACAGTGGATCATGATTTCTTACCATTTCTCCACCTGTTCAGCTCCATCTCCAGATGCTGGATAACATTCTTTAGTGTCTTGTTTTTTTCCTTCTCCTTCTCATACTTTTTCTTCCATTCTTCAGCAGTCAATTCAAGGTTCACTGAGACAGTGTTCTTAATAGTCTTGGCTCTATACAGAGAAAAACCAAAGCACTAATTGGGTGCCCACAACATTAGCCAATAAATATTGTTTAATATTACATCCACAGTTGAGCTTGGTTTTCGGTAATTCCCTCAAGGTAAACTTTATTACAGTAAATACAAAACTTGGAGTGTTGAAATAAAACCTCCTTTAAAACAGAGGAGAAGGAGAAGGAGAAGGAGAAGGAGAGGGGGAGGAGGGGGAGGAGGGGGAGGAGGAGGAGGAGGAGGAGGAGGAGGAGGAGGAGGAGGAGGAGGAGGAGGAGGAGGAGGAGGAAGAGGAAGAGGAAGAGGATAAATTTAAACCTTATTTTCCCAAAGGGACTCAGGGCAGTTTCCAACATATAAGGCAAAACATTCAATTGCCCCAAAGGAAATCCATACAGATAAAGTAAAATAAACATCACAAAACATAAAATTCTACTAAAACATACACACCCAAAATTAAAAACCTGTTTTCATTATAACTCCATCAGATGGGTTCAAAATACCAATGGCCAGCAGATTACAAAATGGATGTGGCCAACTATAAAGGGCTGGGCAAGGAATAGTGCAACAGTGTATCATAGGGTTGAAGCAGTGGATAAAGTGCAGAACCAGATTACTATCTGATGGCCTAGGGAATAATCATTCTCGAAAACCTGCTGGAACATCCAGGTTTTCAGGTCCCTACAGAAGGAGGACAGTGTGGGGGCTTGCCTAATCTCCTTCAGGAGAGAGTTCCAAAGTCGGGCCACCACCATGAAGGCCCTCTCCCTCGTCCCCACCAATCGTGCTTGTGATGGTAGCAGAAGAAAGAGGAGGGCCTCCCCAAAAGAAATTGATTTTTTTTATCTCAATGTTAAATTAGTAGTAGTTATATTCACATGTCTTACTCAGATTTTGAGACCAGTTTAATGTTCACCCTACTGCTACCTCTTCCATGTTGAAGTTACAGTCTACACCAGGCATGGGCAAACTTGGGTCCTCCAGATGTTTTGGACTCCAACTGGCTGTTAGCAATTCTGGGAGCTGAAGTCCAAAACACCTGGAGAGCCCAAATTTGCCCATGCCTAGGAGAAGTATGCATGAATCTGACAATCTTTCAGTCACCTTTTGATTTTGTTCACTTTCTTAAAAAAATATAGGACTTTTACAGGAAAATGTACACCCATTTGCAGGTACATTTCTCCTGATACACAAATATTTGCATAACAGGTGTGGTTTTACAAGCAATTTTCTTGACTTCATTTTTCCCCATACTGGTTTTACTACAAAGAAATGTTGTGTGCACTTTCCTTTAATATATATACATATTTCAATGCAATTTTTTTGGCAAACAAAAAAAAGCTATCCTGTTTCTTAGTTCATGGACTTGGTATGCTTTTATTACAAAATGCAAACCAAAAATATTTCACTCCTATCCCTACTAAAAAAATAGATCTCTCTGGATTCAATGCAAATACTTCTAAATACAGCTGCATTAGAATGTAACAGCAATGAATACAGAATTTTACATTCAGAAAAGGCTATTAATAACATTGTAGTTCTTTCTGATTTATCCACATAATACATCTCAAGGCTTTTTTCTAGTTAGGTGATTTATCATTGAAATTCAATTCTTTCCTATCAATGTGGGAGCTGGCACTTCTATATTTAATAAGTGGAATTATCAGCTGTGCCCTGTTAATTTGAAACTGGATTGCAGGTCCTCTTCCCTCCAAATAGATCTAGTACTCTGTAGCTTTTAGTGTTGGCTTGTGAACACAATGGGCACACAGACACACATACACCCACTATCACACATTCATTTGGCCTTGAATGCATTGTTTCAGCTGCATTTATTTATTTATTTATTTATTTCGAGGTTTTATATACCGACCCTCTCACCTTCAAAGAGGGATTCGGACCGGTTCACAACATGTGTTAACATACAAAAAATATACAATAACAACACAATGCCACTTCATTACATGGTTAAAATATCAGCACTATACACGTTAAAACATTATCATCACAGTTAAAAGAGCCAACTCGTCCGACACCATCACAATCCCATTCATCATCCTCCTTTCATGTGGGCAAAGAATTAAATCAGTTGTCAAATGCCGCGTTCCACAACCAGGTCTTTGTGCATCTACCACAGCCCATTTTAGCCAAGGCTGTGTTGATTTAGTCTGGTCCAAAATAGATCTGCCTACCAAATGCAAATCTCATATTTTGATGCTGAATGCAAAAAAGGAAGGGCACTGTCAACAAATAAGAAAATTGGTATGATAATGTAACTGTATTCTGCTTACCTAATCAGAAAGTGACTCACATGTTAAACCTTTAAAGTGATCTTCATCTTCTGCCCTGACAAAGTACTTTTGATTTTAATGCTGGCTCAAAAATCAAAAATAGAAGGTTTTGAGCTTGGGAAGTTCTAAGTATGTTTAGATATATTTGTATATCTGATTCACACATTTATTATGAGGACAGCTATTCACACCAACATTGTTCCTGGAAGATCAATAGAGCCACACTAGGCTCTAAGCCAGGAAACCACTGGTGCATAAAATTAATCACAAAGCAAGTTCTTTTGCTGCATGTGCAATTTTATTCTTGAGTGCTTTTGAGCAGAACTGTTGCAATATCGCTGTTGTTTGCTGGCAGACAGCTTCAGATCTAACCCCAGCAATCTTTTCTTATCCAAATTCGATTTATTAACTTTATTTCCTCCCAGGACATTCTCAGTTCATATCAATCATTTCCTTATAATTATTTCCAGTTTGTATTTTTCACTAATACTCCTAGTGAGAGAATGGAGCATATATTCTCACAGCAATAAAATTTCTAAGCCTTGATTCACTTAGAAATTCGCTTAGATTATCCTTTAAAAAATTTATAGCAGCGCTGTATGTGTATTTATTTCGAATTAAGCCTCATTGAGTTTGATGAGACTAACTACAAGGTAAACATTAACAATTGCTGAGTCAATGTAGTTTTAAGAAATCAAAAGAAGCATTTATTAAGACATTTTTATTGAAAGCCATGCCAGCATGTAAATCTAAATATTTTTTTGAATCAGTTGAGTCAAAATGCAGTAATCATAATAAATAACAGGTGTAATCTCCTTAGAAACCGACATGTTGGCTTACCTTTGTCCAAACATTAGAGTAGATTTGGTTTCCGCTTCATTGAAAATGGATGGGGAACAACAGATGACAATGGTGGTTCTACAATTCCCACCTAAAGAATCCTGAAGAATTCGGGTCATCTTGCTGTCTCGATATGGGACGTGTGTTTTCTGATTAAGAGATGTGAGACCCATTTTATAAACACCACAAAATATAATTCAGAATTCAATTAATCTCAAATACATAAGACTATTTTCAAATTTCTAGGATGAGTATGCAACGTTGAGATAAAATACACTGCTCTTAGTCTTTGTACTGCCAATTGCTATAAAGCTGAATGGACATGAAGGTGAAAGTGGATCCAGTCAACACTAAGCATATTTTCTTATCACTTGGCAAACAGGAGAAATGAAAACAGAATAGTCATCCACATTGCTGGACAGAAAGGGGATATCATTTTGTCTTACACATTAGATCTCAGTTACATCAACACACAAAGCTTAGAAAGCTTAGAAAATGAAGAGCCTTATGATGTAAGCAGGACACTTGGGCCCCATCTACACTGCATTATATGGACAACGTGGACCAATTGTTGTTGTTTATTCGTTCAGTCACTTCCGAGTCTTCGTGACCTCATGGACAAGCCCGCACCAGAGCTCCCTGTCAGCCATCACTACCCACAGCTCCTTCAACATCAAGCCAGTCACTTCAAGGATACCATCCATCCATATTGCCCTTGGACTGATATAATGCAGTTAAACTATTTTATATGAGCCTACACTGACCATATAATGCAGTTTCGAACTACATTATATGACAGTGTAGATAGGGCCATGGATTTTGTAACACTCTGCTTTTGAAAAGCTGGAAATTACTAGTTAAAATAACTAGTTGATCGTATTTAATCCTTCTCTCTCACAATTGTAGGAATGTCTCCTAATTACACTTGAGACACAGCAAGAGACCACTCTTTCTGCAATGTAGCATTTTTGTTGCTTATTTACAGTAACACAAATATGTCTTCACTAAAGGGAGGAATTTGACATGATTCAATGCTGTCTCATCATGCTAGGCAGAGGGTGGCATCCATGTCAAAGGGGCACTTAATCCATCCAAAGGTTTAATATGAAGTTTCTGTCCAAGGTGCTGAACCGTATCCCAAAGTTTGGATCGAAATGCGCAAAGTAGATTTGTGAGTCCACTGACATGGAAAGCACCAGATGTCCAAAACTCATTAGGAGCAGCTCCTCTTAGCAGGTCTCGCTATTTCAGCTACAATGAAGGCACACACAAACACAATGTTCCATGCTGACCTATGCAGCTAAATGAAATTTAATATGTTACCACCATTAAAAGGATAATATTATTTATTTATTTATTTATTTATTTATTTATTACATGCAAATACTTCCTGATGTCCTCAGGCAGTATGCAGACTTCAGGACAACAGGGGTGTGTGTGTGTGTGATTTTTCCTTCCAAATACAGCTTACGATGCAGGCCTATGCAATAATAGCTGGAAGACTCAGAAAAGAATCCAATCCACCAAATTATTATGCTTTCAAACATTCTTAAAAGAAAATGGGGATTACTTACTGTTCCTTCTGCCAATGCCGAGATCACATTGCCCAAAGCAGACAATGACTTGTTAATATTTTTAGCTTCGTCAAGCACAGAGCCCTCTGCCCCAGTTTTGCTGACCTGTCCAAAAAGAATAGTTACTGGTTGGACCCTTGGAGATAGTTACAAGAGGAAAGTAGCACTTAAAATACATTATCTTCATTTTACCCGACACAGAAAAGCAACCAGCCTGCAAAAGATTTCCATAACACCTTTTCTTTGTTTTTTAAGTGAATACAATATGTGTGTAATAAATTTATTTCATTGATAGCATGAGATTCCACTGAAAGCATCCTATCCAGGTGGCTTACGAACCTGGATCTGCATAACAAAATTTCATGGACTTTGAAGTAATACTTCATACATCGAATGCTCTTTTTATATACAGAAGAACCAGCCAGCATATTAAAAGTCAAGAATTGAACATATTTTTAAGTGAGTTGCTTAGATAGTATGGCATAAAGCTGCTGCCTGTGTAATAAACAAGAAAACAAACAAACATGCTCTGCTAATCCAGGCATGCGGTACTCAAAGTAAATAAAATTGACAACTACCAAGGCGAACCAAAGCCTCAGACCTTAATGCCAGAAAGTAGAAGGTGCTGGCAAATAATGACTGGCATGCTGTTAATGATGGTGGCCAAAGTCCAGCTTACGTCATCGTAACCCACTTTGGGAGGTTTTGTGGAGGTCTGAATTCTGTACTGATTATGTAACTTCCAAAAATCTCCTCCAATCCCCTCTCTTCAAAGTGGCAGTCCCCAAAAGATGGCAATTTCTACATTGGTGAACAATAGAGGGAACAGTAAAGAAGAATACACAGCAATAATGTCATCTTCGGGGACCTTCCAAGGACCTCTTGTCCTGTCATGATGCTTCCATGACACATCAATTGGGGTACTTTAACTGTGCTTTTCCTGAATGGCAAGGGGTTGGTCTAGATGGCCCATGTGGCCTCTTCCAATTCTATGATTCTATGGAAATAGCTGCATGTGTGTTTCTCCTGCTACTCCTTATCCCCAGCAATATAAAAATAGGTATCTTGTGGCAAAGGGGGCTGACACACTGACAATATAGATTTTGAATGGCTGCATCCAGATATGTCTTTTGGTGCATGATCTAAAGCAACTATTATTACTTAAAAACTTTATTTGGAAACCAAAAATAGAAAATTCAATTTAAATAGAAAATTTAAAATATCAGAATATTGTAATATGCCTTATAAAACTAACTTATCAAACTCTGTTGGGGAATTTAAAAATAATGAATTTAATTCTAACTACCTTTCATGCCTCTATTCTCTTCAAAAGATTCAGCTCTGCCAAGGTTATATAGCTTCCACCTATTTTAGTAACATTACATTATCAAGGGGAAATTGAGAGAAGTAATATAAGAGAGACAACTGCAACAATATTATATACTCATTGCTTTGTAATATTTATATCCCATTTTTCTTCTAAGCTCAAGATATTGCTTCTTCTCTTGACTTATCCACAGATCATATAAAAATCCATAATTTTGGCCCCAAAATCTGCCCTCGGCTTTTACGTGAGGTGAGTACATACAATAAAATGCCCTAAGTGCTTGTTTGGATCTTGTGAATGAAACCAAGATTGTTTTTTCAATTTTTGATTCTGTCACCACTTCACTTTATAGCTCTAGCAGTCACAGACTGATCTGAAGAATAGCTCAGAGCAGATAGGATATGCAGTTAGCGTAATTCAGAGTGATTTGTTTAATACCTCAATCAACACTACAAGCCATCCTCACAAAAGGCATAAAATGTATCTCAGGTAATCTTTTTAATCTCTGAGTAAGCATTTAAACACAGCAGTTAAAAGTTAAATATGCATGCCATTGGATTCTAAAAATTACTACCATCACAAACCACTGAAAAATCAATACTTTTAAGTAGAACAGCAACACAGTCATTACCTTTTCACTCCCAGCCAAATCTACCAGATAAAGCTTTCCACTGAGTTTTTTTTCAGTTTCAACATTCTCTTGCTTGATGTTAATTAGGAAAATACTATGACTTCTAGAACTGTGTTCATTCATGTCTATGAAAAGAAATCCAGCACATTAGTAATGCCTTGAAAAAAAATCTCTAAAGATTAATGCCTTATTAATGACTAACTTTGGAATTCATTCAACATTCAACAAAGCTGATGAAACAACCAAAATATTTGTAAAGAGAACTTGAACTGAACATGGGCTACTCCACGGTGAAGACAATGCTAACCAGGACTACAACTCTTTACACTCTTTTTTTCTGCAGAACAACAAATGTGGCTCGAATGAGGACAGGAGGTCAAAATGGATTCTAAATACAGAATGTAGATTAAGCAAATGCAAGGAAGGAGGGCTTTTGAAGTCTAACTTAATGGAAAGACTCACACACAAAGAGTAACAGCGTAACGTTAAGTAGATATATAGTAGATATATATGATGTATCATAAATGTTTAGTTGTCTCTGCCCAGAATCATTCCTGACTAGCCACTGCTGAAGCCATCAACCATAGCCATAAGCACATATTCGCTGAGATTTTTTTAAGCTGTCAAAATGTAAAGTCCAGCATCTCTGTGAAGACAATGGAGGCAGCCAGACATTATGTATATGTATGTATGTGAGTATGTGTCAATTTGACTGTCATTGTCCCCATATACCCTGCAGTCAATCACTAACTGACCTGAAAGCCACTGTAGAATAGGAAATGGCTTGCATGCAGGGATGTACCAGATATATGAGCTTGCATAATAACAAATAGGATTTGTGGGTTGTTGTAGGTTTTTTCGGGCTATATGGCCATGTTCTAGAGGCATTCTCTAGAATATGGAGGAGAGAATGCCTCTAGAACACAGAGAAAATGCCTCTAGAACATGGAGAGAATGCCTCTAGAACATGGCCATATAGCCTGAAAAAACCTAGGAGAGAGTGCCTCTAGAACATGGCCATATAGCCCGAAAAAGCCTACAACAACCCAGTGATTCCAGCCATGAAAGCGTTCAACAAAATAGGATTTGATTCCTAATAAGAATGTTTCTTGGAAGTTAATGTATCTCCAGTGCAAACAACATTTATGAGTGTTATAGTCAACATGTTTTATGCTCTTTGTTATCACTTCTATTCAATTTTCTGGCCATACATGCACAGAACCGCTTACTTTTAAATATGTGATGTTGCCGGCATTTAACACTAATTAAGGGCATTGTTCCAGGTTGCTTAATTAAAGACAAGTGTTCCAAGTAAAGTGGCTTCAAGAAAAGGCACAAAAGGTGCCACTTCACTTTTCCGAAATGGTGATGCTCATCCAGATATTCCGGATCAGCATTGCTGGGTCTGCATGGTCAGCTGCCAAGATGGCTTAGGGGCTGGATGTCATCCACGCTGCATGCCCCAAGTCAGCTCAGTGTCTGGATGGTGGCCACATGCCCAAGCAGTACCCAAAGTGGTTTGGCACTGCTAGATCACCCCACTTATCTTGCCCCCATCGTTCTGGGCTTTGCAGTGCCCACCAGGTATGAAAATGGTAAAGATCACCATTCAGCACCTGTAGTGATGATACCCAAAGCAATCAAGTGATGCAAGAGAGGAGAGAAAAGAAAGGAAAAATTGTTTCCTCCTTTCACCCCTCCTTTCTCCTTCTCGGTGACCAGAGCAATTTTCATATCCTCAAGGCCTAAAACGACATGGCAAGATAGGTGCCATCCTGCGGCCCCAGGGAGCCTGAGCCTAGGGAAAGCATTAACTGGCCTTGGCCCATGTTAACCTGAATTAGCTCCATGCATCATGTAGCCGCCATGGAAATGGTTCACCCTCAACCCCATTTTTGGGAGAAAGCATTAGTGAAGATGCATCCAGAGATATAAGTAGAAGCCTGTGACCGATCACAACCAAGATGGAAATTCATTCAACTTGTTTCAAATATAAAGACAAAAATGTAGTCTCGTTTTTGTTTATTAATCATAATTTTGAAAATGTCTTTCAAGTCACAAAAACTAGTTATTTTACCCTATGTAGCAGGGATTTGAAGCATAAGAAATCTAAGCTAAGTTGAAAAAAGTAATCAAGTAAATAAGATAATTGTATCACTTTGGTATCATAGCAGTTTGTGTAACACCAATACATTTAGTATGGTATTTGTTTTTTTAAGTAGAAGTGCAGAAATGCTTACTTGTAACAGCTACATGGCGATTGGTTTTCCCTTCATCAATGACATCCATAACTTCTTCAGGACTAGACACAAATCTCTCTGTACAACCCTAGAAATGTAGGGTATATTATATGTCAGACATTGTGGAAGAAGCAACACAACAAATCCAACACAATAGCTGTACCTGAAGTCAACAGTTTCTTCAGAGATCAGAGCCAAAGTTCTGTTTTCAAGCTGAAAACTATAGATGCAGCTATTGAACCATATATCAGAGAACTGAAAACCTTATTTAAATGGATAGTTTCAAAAGAATGTAAAACAAAAACATTTGCCAGATACATTTGCTGTGAAATTGGTATGATTGCTCACTCTTCAAAATCTATGTAATGGGCTTAGGAAAGAACAAAAACACCAGGATGCATGAGATGAAACCTGCACTGCTGCTGAATCAAACCACCTTTTGCATTAATTATTCCTTTTTCTTTCTGCCATATAATGAAGCAAGAGATTGATGATATGTAGATGTTTCAAAAGTAGGCTTGTGCAATTTTGACCCATTTTGTGTCCTGGCTTTTGGTGGGGGGCCCCGATCAATTTTTGGGAGCTTCCCGAAATCAGAATGACATATATGTTTTTACTCTGAGGTGCTAAAAGATCGATTTTGGATCTGCCCATTGTGTGTGTGGGGGGGGGGGGCTTCCCAGGCTCCCCTTCCCATCATTTTAGGCATTTAAGCTGTTTCTACTCTAGAGGAGAGGTGCTCAACTGCAGACAGGAGCTCGCTTTAAGGAGGCTTCTTACCTGTTTCTCTACTCTAGAGGAGAGGCGCTAAGCTGCAGGCAGGCATGCATGCTTTCTGGGCTTGCACTCCACACACGTACTCTTTCCAAGACAAGGAGGCGGCTCACGAAAAGCAAGCGAGGAGCCACAATTGGCTCCTGCTTGCTTTTGTGTCGAGCTGATTTTTGTACCGGGAGGAGGCTTCCCATTACATGTTCCCAAAGGTAACAAAAGTAACGAAAGAACAGATGCAATGAAGGAAAACAGATCTGCACACAAACTCTACTAGAAAGAACTGGACTATTCTATGAAGAGAGAGTTTTTAGCAACTCCTCAAATTTCTGCTGTTGGTGAACTGAATTGAATGGTATATGTTTTCAAATGTGGTATTAAATACAACTGATGTAAGGTATTTGAATTTCATAAGTATGCAACTAGAAATGTATTATTGTTATTTGTGCTTATTCTAGAGCAGCCTCTGAAGAAAGTCAATCAGCAATATAAAGACTGGGACTTTTTAGGTTTTTACAAAACTGGATAATCATTTAAAAAATAGAAAAATAAAATGCTACCACCAATAAAAAGTCTGGCTTTAACTAAAATGAATTAAAATGGTCAATCAGGCCCATTCACTAGAAGTATTCTTAATTTAACTAATGTATTATATATTATAATTTACTTGCAGGTGAGTTGTAAATCAAGATATCCAGTTAATATATGTATGTTTGTATATATATGTATGTATGTGAGAGAGATTCTAATGGAATTGGAAATAACACCAATATTTTCTTTAAGTCTTCATTCAAGTGAATATTAAAAATGAAGGATTTCTTTTATATGCATTAAATATGAATGAACTGCTAAATTTCACTGGAGTGATCTAAAATGAAACAATTTTAAAGGGAAGGAAAGAGCCAAAAATTATTAAATTCCATGAATATTTCAGAAAGGCAATGCTGAAATATAAAGATAATTGTGGTTTGAATTCTTAATTGTAGCAAATTATTCTATTTCATCCTCTAGAGTCAGAATGTCTATTGAAATATGAATAACATGTTGAAAACAATAATGATAAAAAAATAATTCAAAATAGGTAGCATGTTCTTACAACTGCTTGGGAATGGTTATGGAATCTAATAAGGAAAGCATGTCAAAGGTATAAGCAAATACTTTTTCTTTCAGAAGAGAGGGTGTTGGGGAAAATGCTGTGATGAACTGAAAATTGTCTGCTTGGAGAGGATGGGCTAATTTAAATGTATCCAACTATTTTATTTTTATACAATTTTTATGTTTTGCATTCTGGTGGTTTAACATTGCAAATCCTTCTTAGGAAATTTGCTGTTATTGTCTGGTGCTTCTTATTAGTTTACTAGCTTGGGTACCCGATGATGCTGGGGTTACTTGAAAAAGTCATTGTTTGTTTTTGGATGTTTGGTAATATGAATTTGGTAATTTGTAACATTATTTATTAGAATCAAAATTAGTCTTTGCTTTTGTTTTTTATGAATGCTCCCATTAGAAAATGCATAAGTATGTGGGTGAACTGCAATTCTCAAAAATTAAAACTTGGCTATGTTGGTCTGTGTGCCGAGTTTGGTCCAGATTCGGTTCACAGTGCTCTCTGGATGTAGGTGAAGTACAACTCCTACATACCCCCTCCAAACATCTCCAGTATTTTTTGTTGGTCATGGGAGATCTGTGTGCCAAGTTAGTTCCATGTCTATCACTAATGGGGTTCAGAGTGCTCTCTGATTGCAGGTGAACTATAAATCCCAGTACCTACAACTCCTATACATCAAAGTCAACTCACCCCTCCAAGCCTCTTTAGTATTTTTGGTTGCTCACGGGGGTTCTGTGTGCCAAATGTCAAGATCCATTGCCTGTGCAGGATGAACTACAACTTCCATCATGTTGAGTCAGTCCCCCAAACCCCTCCAGTATGTTCAGTTGTTGATCAATATCTCTGTTTACTTTGTGCCATAGATAAGAGTAGAAAGGGTTTATGGTAGAGGCAGTGGGCGGGATCATGCAAATTCCACGCCAATGGAAATACTGAGCTGTCTGTGGTGGAAGAAAAACAGAAAATCTAGGAGGAAATTGTTCCCAAATGAAAACATTCATTTGGTGATGGGCAGTATTGTGTTTGTGGAGGACATTGGCAGGCCTCTTATACTTGTTCATGGCACTTGCTATAACCTGCAATGTCATTGGAGGGAGTGCAATTGGTGTCTCCTGAGTGGTGGAAGTTATAGCTGTTTGTGAAAGTGGGAGCCTGTCTGTGTAAGTGGGCACCCTAGTCACACACACATACACATACATATTTTCACTTTTATTATGTATATAGATTTGATATTTTAAAATGTATTGGTGTCATCTGTGACTTTCTGCTTGGTTATGTTAAACTGTCAGTTAAAAAGCTGGAAGGCATATTTTTAAAAGGAAATAGAAGCAATACAACTTAATTTTGATTGTAATTAGCATGAAAGTATTTAAACAAACTGTACATGAAAAATTGCTTTTACCTTGACATATGGGACTCTGTTCTTGTCTTCATGAACTGCAAGGTTTGTCTTTGAAACTAAAAACATAAAGATAGTATGTGAATCTGATGAGCAGCAAGACTAATCTAAATACACAATAATTCAAACAGATCCTCCTATAGAAGAAATCAGTGGTTTAATTTCCACAAACCTTACTCAAATATGGTACCAAAAGTATCATGATTGTGTTACTATGAGTTTTCCGGGCTGTATGGCCATGTTCCAGAAGCATTCTCTCCTGACATTTTGCCCACATCTATTGGAGGCATCCTCAGAGGTTGTGAGGTTTGTTGGAAACTAGGCAAATGAAGTTTATATATCTGTGGAGTGTCCACGGTGAGACGTTTGCTTGAGGTAAGTGTGGCTGTTGCAATTGGCCACCTTGATTAGCATTGAATGGTCTTGCAGCTTCAAAGCCTGGCTGATTCCTGACTTCGGGGATCCTTTGTTGTATTAGCTGGCCCTGGTTGATTCTGTCTTGAATTTCCCTGTTTTTGAGTGTTGTTCTTTATTTACTGTTCTGATTTTAGAGATTTTTAAATAATGGTAGCCAGATTTTGTTCATTTTCATGGTCTCTTCCTTTCTGTTGAAATTGTCCACATGCTTGTGGATTTCAATGGCTTTTCTGTGTAGCCTGACATGGTAGTTGTGAGAGTGGTCCAACGTTTCTGTGTTCTCAAATAATATGCTGTGTCCAGGTTGGTTCATCAAGTGCTCTGCTATGGCTGACTTCTCTGTTTGAATTAATCTGCAGTGCCTTTCATGTTCCTTGATTCGTGTTTGGACAATGCTGCATTTGGTGGTCCCTGTGTAGACTTGTCCACAGCTGCACAATATACGGTAGACTCCTGCAGAGGTGAGAGGATGCCTCTTGTCCTTTGCTGACATAGCATTTGTTGGATTTTCTTAGTGGGTATTAGATAGTTTGTAAGTTATGTTTCTTCATCAGCTTTCTTAGGCGGTCAGTATGGTAAGAACACTTTTTCTCAAGGTCGATTGAATGGCATTAATTAGATCAAACTCTCTATTCTTGGTACAATATTTGGCTGATTTCAAAATCTGCAGGACAGGGGAATGCAGAAAGGGCAGGCTATGGTTTTTGTTTTTTAAAAAATGTACTTTAATTAGTCACTAGGAAAGTTCATGTTTCAGTGTGTTTCCTGTTCCTCCTGTTGCTGATTCTGTTCCGATTATATCACACCCTTATAAGGAGACACCCCATTTGACCCTTTCTCTTCTTCAGTCTGACTCTGAACAAACCCAGTAACAAGGCAAAAACCTTCTTATGTTAAACTGAAAAGTGATCGATCACAGCTCCTGTTTCTACAGTCCAATAAGTAAAACAGTTCCTTGATACAAAATGTAACTGGTTACCAAAGTCACTCACTACAAGTAATTATATGCTGCACAGGGATATTATTCCAGGCAGATATTCACATTCAAATATTTCAGAACTATTCTTTCTGTTGCAAAGGCTTATTCAATTTTTAATTAATCTTGTAAAATAAACTCACTGTAGTTATTACAGCTTAGCTGTAGGGTTTTTCTTAAGATAAAAAATCCTCCTTACCATCCAGCAAGTCCCTTATTTTGTCCAAGTAAATCTCAAAATAGGACACCTAAACAAATGAAAACACATTGTTATTAACATAGCAGTTTGGAAGAGGCTGGAACACTAACAAGTATATACTACAGTTTAAGAAAGCATTTTTGCATTCATACCATAGCTATCAGTCAAATATTTTTTTAAAAAACAAGTTTACAAATCCTTTAAGAGTACAAGAGGTGTTTGGTATTTTTTAGTGAGCCAGGAAATTCAAAGCATAGCCATGTTCACTTAGGGCAGGACTTCTTAAACCTTTTCCACCCGTGACCCCTTTCTGCCAAAGTAATTTTTACATTGCTCCAAGAATACAGGTATATAAAATAGGTATAATAAGCAAACATTTACTGATATCAAGTCAGCATTTGCATGGCTTGCTAAACAGGCTGATTCTCCTTTTTGCTGAATACAGCTGAAGCACTTTCGGCAGAATCCACTGTAAACACGGCACGTTGTTGCTAAAAGGTTTTCTAAATGGGTGATGTTCAGAAACCTGTTACTGTTGCCATATTTTCATGATTCCAACTTTGAGCTTTAAAAAGCCCATTTGGGATCGGGATCCATAGCGTCCCCTCCGGAGCCTCTCTGAGTCCCCTCTAGGGTGAGATAGAGCGGTGTACAAATAAATAAATAGTTTGAGAAGTAGTGGGCTAGAGTATCAGTGTGCTGAGGGATCTTCTAGCACCTTAGATACTAAGAGAAAGAACTAGGTAGCACAAGCTTTCACAGACTAACCTTGTGTCTACATATGCAAATAAAACATACCTCGAACCTGCCACAAGCAATCCAGACAATGGACAGCCAGGTCTGTAGCAAAACTGCTTCTTCCAACCTTTTAACCAGGAAGTGTTTTGGATGTGTGGAGAGCTGGGTTGGGATAAATCCAAGGTGAGACACTGTCCACTGTGGTTTCACCAGCCAAAAGAAGCTGCCCAACAGAGTATTGCTGTCAATATCATTTCTGGTGATCATGTGGCTGAGTGCTCTGTTGTTACTTCATCAGAAGTGATATCACTAGGAAGTCTCTGTTGGGGAACTGTGTTTTGGCCAGTGAAACAGCTGCCTCAGAAGTAGCGGCAAAGAGGACAGGCTGATACTCCCAGGAGGACAACTGACTGGTTGTATGAACTGCAAAAATGCTTCAAGGCACTTCCACACCAGTCCATGTGGATTCCCCATAGTATAGCTGGGAAAACTGGTGTAGTTTTTCATCTGGTGTAGATCCAGGCTTTGTCAGCATCAAGACCTAGGGTCCATCTACACTGTAGAATTCCCTCAGGAGTTGAAGTTTTGTGAGGAAACAGATGCTTTGGCAGAGAAGAATGACCCTTTGAGAATGACCAGTTCTAGCTCAGCCCCAAACATTGTTGAATATGGCCTTATACTTCCTACCTATTATCCCGGTCATCCCTCTAATAGGCCCTGGAATTGAGCAGCCACAGACCCGTACCTGCTATTGTTGTTAGCCTGTTATAGCACTGTACTTAATTCCCGGTCCCTTCATATTTTTGAGTTTGCACAAGCCTCGGCCCAGCCTTTTAATTGTTCTGAACTGGCAGGATTATTTTTAATATATATGTGTTATTGTGATAATTTTATGCTTATGTTTTGTTAATTTTATGTCATGCTGTTTACTCTGTATGTTTTGGTGATGTTACCTGAGTCCCCCTCGGGGAGATTGGGTGGTTTATAAATAAAGTTTATTTATTTATTTAAGGCTAAAGACCTCATAAAGCTACATCTCTTATGATTCCATAGCACCAAGCCATGGTAGTTAAAATGGTGTCAAGCTGCATTAATTCCACAGTGTAGATCAGACATGGGCAAACTTGAGGCCTCCAGGTATTTTAGATTTCAACTCCCACAAGTCCTAACAGCCAGGAGGACCAACGTTTGCCCATGCCTGGTTTAGATGCACCATTCAGCTATCGAAGCTTATCGTACCAACTTTTTTCTCTCAGTCTTTCAATTAATATAAGATCCCTTTACATACTGATAAAATAGGAAAGGCATAGTTTGGGAGAGCAGAGATGAAACATTCTTCCAAAACAAAATCAGAGCTTGGAACTTTACTGAATGGAGAACATTCTTCACCGGCTGAGCAGCGCATTCCTATTCCCAAGATTTTAACAGTCTAGTGAGTGTTACTGTACTATTTTTACACCTATATTGTCATTACCTCCACACCTTTTCTCTCCAAGGATCTTCCCAAAAGCCCAGTGGTGGCTTCAGTTGCCTTCCACAAAATTACAACTTTTTACATTTGACAGTCATGTGCAGTTTCTTCTCAAGTATAATTACACTCATAGGAATGCTAACTATTTTCAGGAAAATGCAGCTAATGTTACATTACAGATAGTGTTACATTGCAATGTGTTGTGTCTGAGATCTAGAAAAATAAGAGTCAAACAAAGAAATCACTACTAAGCTCAAAGTATATGATAAACCCCAGTATTCTAAATATGGACATTTACTTCCTTTTGGAGGGTAGGACTGTGCAACTGTATTTGTAACACATCTAAGCTGCCTCCAAATTTTTCAGATCTGGCATAAAAACTATCTTTTATTCCACATTTTAAAACTGCATTTCATGGTTGAACAAGCTTCAACTGTGACAATATTTTATCCAGGCATCATGTGGCTATTTGGTGGAATTTCCCACATCACAGCCAGAATGCCCATGCTTTCAGATGGCAACTCTCTTGTGTAATCAACTTGAACAATAATTCATTACCATTCAAGTGCATTTGCTGTCACAACAGTATGAAGCAAAGTCAATTGTTATCACTGCATCACATGGGGGGGGGGGGACTGAAAGAACTGAATAGACTAGTAACAAACATTTCTCTTTCTCTTTTAAAGTGTTATTTTATTATTGTACTCAGATGGGATAGAGTGAGTACTGTAAGGTTCTTTAGAATATTTACCAAAAAAAAAAAGATCCCTTGAGAAATGTCGACTGAAATATGTGTGTGTGTGTGATTTTCCCACTTTTGTGGGGGTCCTACACCTCTAACCCCAGCAAATGTGGAGTGTTGACTGTAACTAGAGAATATCTGCCAGTAGGTTCAATGTGATGGTGTGTTTAAAACAACCAGTCATCCCTTATGTAACACCTGGGTGTTTACATCAAATAACTTGTATGGCAGTTGTATGAAACTTTTGCAAACTACAATGGCCTTGCGACAGCTGCTTATACTGGATTCTGTAGCTTGCAGCTAATCCTTAAATTAAGTAACATGTTAAACACATATACCATTTTCCAGGTGTAAAATATCCTCTCATTTAAAACTTGAGATTACATGATAATTGTGGTTGGCATTGTTCATCCTAGTAAGCAGAATGCTTACCATGATGCCATGCAAAAGTGAAGGGAACCCACAAAGAAATGGCACACTCCCAACTCTAACCTAACAGAAGGTTGACAATGTCAGTTTTACACCTAGGGGGTGTGGCATATATACATGAACTGCCTGGATACATTGCTTCAAATGATATCTCAGATGTGTCCACCAAGCCTTCTGAAAGTCTTTGCAGCTGTTTGGTAGACACATACTTGAATTATAAAAGTTGTTAAAATAATGTGTCTATCCTACCCACTTACGAGATATGGCCAAAAAAAGTGATGAGACTGTTTTTTTTTTTAATCATGAGTTTTATTCTGTGTTCAAATCACGGCTATTCCCTTCAAAGCCGTTCCTTTGGGCAGCCACACAGCAATGGAGCTGTTGTTTCCATTGTTCATAGCAGGCTTCTCCTGGAATGTGTTTCAGCTCATTAGTTACTTTCCTCTGCATATTATCCAAAATATCAAAACGGTGTCCTTTCAGGTGGTTTTTGAGTTGGGGATTGAGATCTGGAAAACAAATCTGGAAAATTGGCTGGGTAACCAAAGGAATGCTTTTTCTGCCAAAACATTCATTGATAGAGACTGCTGTGTGACATGGGGTTGTCACAATGTTTGAGGTGCACCATCCAAGAGCATGCAACGTCTGGTTGCACACGTGCCACCTTCTTCCTGAACCATTCAATGCCTTCCTGATAAAAAGTTTGATTGACATTTTGTCTTGGAGGCACAAATTCCTTGTGGGCTGACTGCCAAAAAACAAATGAGCATCGATTTGATTTTTGATTTGCTTATTCCCACTTTCTTGGGACGGGGAGAGTTTCCAGCGTGCCACTCCCAAGTTTGGCATTTTGTCTCTGGGTTGCACTTGAAAATCCATGATTCATCACCTGTAATCATGTGACTGAAGAATTCTGGCTCCCTCTCAAGATGGTTCAGAAGATCAATACACAGATCCCTCTAATTGCCCTTCTGCTTAGTTGTAAAGATTTTTGGAATTATGTCTTTTCTGCTGTCAATTTTGTAATGCAACTGACAAACACAACTTCATATCCAATGCTCTCAACAATTGTGTTGCAAATTCAAATTTGTACTGAGTTTACAGCAGGGGTTACCCTAACTGCTATGTGAAGGTGGAGGTAGCAGCATTGTTGTATCTTGTATACACCCACACACAACATACACATTTAGCCTTCACCAGCTAAGCTGATGCTGGCACCTTGCTTTTCATTGGGTTCAAGTAGTGTTTCTCACAAGTGAAAATATACAGAAGTCACTATTTCACACCAGCTTTGGTGAGTTATGACATGTCTAACTCACCAAGCAAAGCAGTAAAAATCATGGAATCTATTTCACAAAAAATTAGTGGATAAGCAGCATCCTTAATCCATCAAAACACAATTTTTGTTTTTGTTGTTAATGTTTTAAATATGCATTGGTGCAACATCTAATTACCTCAATGCTATGCCAATTGAAGAAAACGCTATGGGCCTGGTACAAAGATAATCCTGACATAAGAGCCATATTTGGCTCAATAGCTCACTCCAGGATTATCTGACAGCCTCTTAAAGCTTTTAAATACAGCCGGTGTTAAGATGTACTAAGCTCTTAAGTCTTGATCATATCATTATGACTGACATGTAACAACTTTCTTTTCACAGCAAAATGCAGAGTGAACCAGTTCTGAACTGGATTGTTTTGAATAATTAAAAGAAAGACTGTCTAGGAGACTTTTACAAATTGGATTGCTACCATTTTCAAATACATGTACATTTTTGATACTACTGCTTGAGTGACATATTTGTACGTTATCTTTTGGCAACAATAACTTCCTTCAACATATACAAACATATTTTCAATTATAAAAAGCCAATGTTTATAAAACTAATTTTCATCCTCTATCAAAGAACTCTTTGCAGAGGGGCAGAATGTTATTCAAAATTGCTGAAATATTGGCAGGATAGTTCTTTTTCGATCTGAAACATGGTGGATCCAAATGTGTTTTTTAAAAAAAAACAAAAAACTCAGCACTCAGCTAGGAAGAAGTGAGAACTTCTAGAAAATCATAGCGACTTGACACCAGACTCAGCTTTTTTTTAACCTGACTGTTATATAACATGTCATTTTGCATTTACCTTTATGTGAAATTCTAGGTTTTCATCCATGGAATAGATGTGATCAAAGATGTCATGTGCAATTCTTGGAATTATCCCCATTAGCTGTGGGTCGTGCAACTTCCCCTAAAGATACAAAGGTTAAAAGAGTGAGTTAAGTATATTCTGTTACTGCAACAGTCTTGTGAGAACAAGGATCTGCACATTTGGTTCATGGCAAACACTGTTTATTAATTTATGCTTATTTCACCCATTCACAATTCAGATCTAACATCACATTCACCATTTCCTGGGTAGAGAACCTCAGAATTAGAATACTGACCTCTCTAACCTACTGGTATATTTTCAAAGGCAAAGAAATACAAACTCATCCAAGAGAATGAAGAGTCAGTCTCTTCATTTGATTCTGGCCCAGTTTACCTGTCTGAACATATCTCCCTCTATGAACAATCTCAGAGATTAAGATCATCTGGGGAGGTCCCACTCTTGGTCCCACCTCCTTTGGAAGTGGAGTTGGTGGGGACGAGAGACAGGGCCTTCTCAGTGGTGGCTCCTCAGCTCTGGAACTCCTTCCCCAACAAAATTAGATTGGCACCCTCCCTCCTGGCCTTCAGAAAAAGAGGAAAGACTTGGCTGTGAGGCCAAGCCTTTGGGCAGTGAGCAGTACAAGGAATGTGCAATAGATATGATATTTAGAACAGCCTGGACCACAATTGTTGGATTGTGTGATTTTAACCATTTATTAGGCCTGGGTAACAACGGAAAAATTTGTTTCTAAAATCGATTCGTTTTTTGGGTTTTTTTGCGTTTCGATATTTAAAAAAACTCCGAAATTTTCCTTAAAAAAAGTTCGATATTTACAAAATTTCGTAAATGGTAAAAAAATTACAAAACAATAACGAAACAATAACGAATCGATTCATTAATGGCGGCCGCGATCGCGCAATATGCTAAAAAAACTTCTGAAGCTTCCCTCTCCCTCTGTTGTTGACTGTTGGTGTGATATTATAATTTTTTTTCACTAATTCAACAAAAAACAACTATAAAACTTGCCCCAGACATGCGGAAATAATAACGAAACGATCTCAAACCAATAACGAAACGAATACATAACGAGATACAAAGCATTTACGAAACGAATTGAAAAATTCGTTTCGTTTTTAAGTTGCTCCAGAATGGTTCATTATCACTTCGTTAACAAAAAATAACGAATTTTTAACGAATTACGAATTAACGAAACGAAACCGCCCAGCCCTACCATTTATWTTTAAATGTTTTTAATTCCAAGTTTTAATGTTAAATGATGTCATGTTTTATGATTTAATTGTGTTGAGAACCACTTTGAGTCCCCTGCTGTGGTGGGAAAAGCAGTATACAAGCGAAGTAAATAAATAAATAAATAAATAAGGCCTTTGCTGTGTACTTTTTTACAGTTCAAAAGCAAATGAAGTTTCTGTGATATATTATAAAGACTGGACTCCAGTGTAGATGGAAATTAATGGAAAATGGAACCGTAATAAATCTGCGGGTTGTTCTTTTATCTGGGCATAGAGCCAGCAAATGCTGCATGGCCAGCCCTACCGGTAGCATGCATAGTCAGCTTCCTTTTGCTTTATTCAAGGCATTTGAAGATGAAAGACCAGAACATTTTTCCTAGTTATATGTCACCCCCCCCCCCCACTTTCCCTTTGGAAACAAAATGAGTAAGAATAACGGGAATGAAACAGTACCCCCTTCTTTGCTTTTGTAGCCAAAACATAATGAACACATATCTGCAGTATGTCTGCAAAAAACCAGAATGGAAATGTTCCAGTTACCTTTCTGACTTATATATGGTTAGAGAGACAGCATTGCCATTGTCCTGGCTAAAATATAAAGATCTGGATCTGACAGTATTACCTGAAAGCTGGGGAAACACTCTGAAGAACAACAAAAGGCTTTATACCTTTGAAGTCAAGAAACTAAAAAGAAAAGTGTTGTCATGGCCAATTTTAATAGGATTCACATTAGGACATTTCTCAGTACATGAACTGAAGTCATTACTGCAAGACAAATCATAAACACTCATACTCTTTCTGTCTTTCATTTCTTTCTCTCTTATACACACACACACACACACCAGGAAAAATCTACCCAATATATATTACAAAAACATGCTTAACGTGAAAAACATAAGAGAAACAACATGAAAAGGGGAACAGAAGACATCTCTGAATCACAGGTTGGGGAAACTGTGGTCCATCCTTTCAAGGATGTTTCATAGTCCTCAAGGCCCTCTCATACCACCTATGTCTAAAAATGTTCCAATGCCTTGTTTTCAATCCCCTACTGCCTTGACAAAGTTCAACCCCACAGCCCTGGAGTAGAGGTGTGAAGGCAAGGGAGGGAGGCAATTAAGGAAAATTGTTCTTTTTCCATTTTAAAGATTTTTCTCCCAGAGAAAATATAAAAAATATATAGGAGAGTGGGTGTCTGAGAAATGCTGAGGGACTTTGGTTGAAATAAAAAGCAGACTTGGCTCTCTAGAATTTATAATCCTAATTTCTATTTTCTGACTATCGTATGTACTCATGTATAAGTTTACTTCAGGTATAAACCAAGGGAAGGTTTTGTAGTCAAAAGTATGTATACTGATGTGACATAAATTGAGGGTCATTTCACAAAGAGGGGAAAGCACCAGCACCACCTCAGTATTCTAGCCACAACCTCCATTTTCCCTCCCAGGTATTCAGAAGTGGAGCCTGGACAGAGAGAGTTGAGGGACTGGTACTTCTTTTAGGTTCTCCCAGGATGGACTAAGCTCTCATGTTTCACCACTGTACTGTGGAACCCCCAGTGGCACAATGGGTTAAACCCTTGTGCCGGCAGGACTGCTGACCGAAAGGTCGGCGGTTAGAATCCGGGAAGTGGGGTGAGCTCCCATCTATTAGTTCCAACTCCCATGCAGGGACATGAGAGAAGCCTCCTACAGGATGGTAAAACATCCGGGTGTCCCCTGGGCAACATGCTTGAAGATGGCCAATTCTCTCACACCAGAAGCAACTTGCAGTTTCAATAAGAGCTAAAATACAATATCCACATTGATCCAGGGATAAATCAAAAGAGGATTTTCAGATCAATTTTGTCTAAAAATTTCCAGATGTATACATGAGTGCATACAGTATTTGGTGAGGGCGAAAATGCAGGTGGGGTGGAGTTTAAAAAATGGGAAAGGGCTCAGACAACACCCACATCTTCCCCTGTGGTCGCTCAATATTACTTCTAGAAGGGTCAGCTGCTACATATCTACATTATTTGGTTGTTAAAGTATTTTGCAATAAATCTTTGATGAGGAACCACGAGTAAATATATTAGTTCTCTGTTTCTTTCACAAACAAGGGAGACACCAGATCAGTCAGTTTTCATTATGATTTTCAGTCACAGTTCTCTTCCAACACGACACCAAAAATACAACAGAACTAGAGGGGAGGCGCCAGTCAGAGAGAAATTAGGGAAATTAAACGTCAAAACCAAGAGACTGTGCAGAGCTGCCTGACTCAAGAATCCTCTGCTGTTTCTTCAATCCTCCCTTTCTTTGCTGTATTCTACTGCTGTATAGGTAAAAAAAGCTGGACTGAGTTTACTCTTAAATTCTTCCCACTGATGTATGTTCTTCGTAATTAATGCTAAATCTCCTTTAACAATATGTTAAGAATGTTTTTAGTTTTTGTTAATAGCTTCTTGCTCTAAATTGATCAGGCTGTCTTCTTTGGACAAAGCCTTTAACTGACACAACAAGGCAACATAATAATATACATATTTTACTGTTCAGTTTTCAATGATACTATAAAACTGTGCTGACCACTACAGTACCAAGTAGAGATTTTTGACTTTTCTCCATATTCTGGTAGATTTTTTTTTGCCTGCTCTGTATTGAATGTATAGAAGGCAAAGGTTTGTGAGGGAGAGCTTATTGATTATCAGGTTAATTTGGTCTCATTTGATTTTATTTGACCTGCAGTTAAATTTTCATGCTGCCTAGATTAAGTCGGCCATATTTGGCTTAGGTTACAGTGGACCCTTGATATCTGTTGGGGTTTGGTTCCAGTCCTTCCACTCCCGTGAATATCAAAATCCATGGGTGCTCAAGTCACATTATATACAGTGATGTACTAAAACTGCATCCCTTATATAAAATGGGAAAATGTTAGGTTTTTGAATATGTTCAAATATATTTTCAGGTGTAGAAAGTTGAATCTGCAGAATCCATAGATATATAGGGGTTACTGTAACTCTGCAAATGCAGCTTGCCTCTGCTATAGAGGATCTGACCTTGAATATTTAGAAGCTTTTCCATGTTGGAAGCTCTAGTGAAATCCTCAACTAAAAAGGACTTTATTTTAAGGAATTTGTGACATCTCTTCCCATCCCTCTTCCCACCCACCCTCCAAAAACTATGTTTAATAGTATTACAAGAAAAGTCTAGAATTAAAAGGAGGATTAATAAAGATCTAATGTAGGCTGGGTGCTGTGTTTAAAGCCTCGTAAGAAGACGAATCATATAACAAGAGGCAGCGAACACTCCCCTCTTTTCCTACAATAATCCAGCCCCATAATTCTGAATCTAAATTGGCTTTTCAAGAGATTTTCCCTCCACCAACTCAAGCACCACAGACATTTTGATTTAATTACATTCTGAGCTGGAGGATTATTGTGCCATCCCCCCATCTGCAAAGAAGAAGCGGGTGATCGCACTTGCCTGATCCACCCCCAATCGTATTCTCTAAAAAAGGTAGGAAATACTGAGCTAAAGAAGAAATGGCATTTATTCTGTCTTTATGTTAAAGAATGGGAGTGGAAAAGCTACTGAGAGCAATCATATGATGTCAGTACAATAAACAAAAGGCTGCTTTTTGTCTCTTTCCTTATGGAAAAATAAAGGCTTATAATTCCTGTGGATTTTTTAAAATAAAAACTTTTAAAATACAAACATGTTTGAACAAAAGCAAACTTTTGTTCTCTCCCAACTCTATGAGTCTATGAAACAAAATCCATGTTAAAAATCAAAGCACAGACAACGGCAGCGCTGTCCAGACATTCTGTGTCCCAGGAGAGCAGGCCTGGAACCCTTCCATCAATCACACTTTCGTATCATATGGAGCTGAGTGCATAAACAGCATATCCATCTAAAACCAGGAGTTTTGCTTTCCCTTTAAAACTGTTATTTCATTTGAATTGAAAGTTTGGGTAGTTGCATATTAGAGAAAACAGAATGGGGAGAAGCAAGAAACTATGGATCGCAAAATGCGATACCTGTATGCATATGCTTTAAAATATTTGGATTTTTAACTTGATAAATCAGATATCCTTATGGGTAATTTTAAGACAAGCACACATTAAGCAAATGTCCCTTTTTGTCTGACCTCTCATTTTCTTTACCAGAAAGTTATTCAAAAGGGGAGGGGTGTTTTCCATTTCATTCAGCAGAGATTCGGCCCATTGGCTACAATGGGACACTTTAAAGGCTCAATCCTCAGCCATTTTAATGCCTATCTGCATGAAACCTATCTCAGTTTTAGACCCCATTCACAACTGCAGGCCTGCCAAGTTTCAAAACAATTCACAAATCTACTGATTTTTTTAGAATTATTTTAAGTTTTAACCATCACATTTGGGAATTATAGTCACTGGTTGTGTCCATTTTTAACCAATCAGAGAATGGACACCACCAGGCCTTTTATTGGCTGAGAGACACATAGAGAGAAAAACTGAGAGGAACTTTCAATGGCCACCCTATGCTAGTGCCACTAGGAAAGCAAGTTCCCAGGGCACTCTCTGGAGGAGGAGATAACTTTCCGAGACAAAAATGGAGGAGGATTCTTCTGCCGGGGAGAGAAAAAGATGCCGCAGATCCCCCTGCCTCAGATATTTTGTAGACTTAACTCTTTCTGAAAATATCATCTCTCTGAATCTGTTTATCTTGTCTTTTTGTCTCTCTTTTCCCCTTTCTGTTTTCGGAAATTAAACGAAAATGGCCCTACGCAAATTACAAATATTTTCTTTAACAGTGATTTGGGCCCAAGTCTAGTGTGCAAGCTACAACCTGTAAGGATGATAGCTATAGATTTTGGAAGATATCAATGCTAGCCTGAAAGGTCATTGGACAAGAAAGAAGTATTTGATCACGATTCCCTCTGGTGTGTCAATCTTTTTCAAAATAAATTGTTGTTCCAAATAATGTACCGAGCAATCCTTAAACTGCATCTTTACAGCGTATGACTTCTATCCTAATGTCGGCTATCAAAGAACAATGACTTCACAATTCCAATTATTACATAGAATTGGGAAAGGTTATAAAAGACAACACTATTCCTTAAGCGCATTAGAAAAGCCTCTGCACTTATTTACTGCTCCAATTGCTTGCATACACAAACACATACTTGTAAACAATTTTGCCAAGGTTGGATATACTGTATATTAAATGTTCCCAATTCACAAAATGCAAATGGAACAAAGTGAATTAATTCGAAGTACAACATTCTACTATCTTGAATGTCAACCTCTGCACAAATTCATCTTAGTGGTTGCCTTCTAGGCAACATTCATTTTTAGGAGTAGTATTTTATATTTCCTAAAGTTAATTACAGAAATGAGAATTTAAATCAAGAAACTAGAATTTATCTGCCCTTTACTGTTCACCATATATTTTTTAATGTTACTACTTTTGCTGTAATGGTTTCTAAAATGTTATTTATCACTAATCATAATAAGAGGGCATACTCAAGCATAATGAGATCTTGGCATGACATTATGAAAACTAATCAGAAATAATTTGGCAAAAACATGAAACCACAATGTTTTCCTGAATAAATGAATAGCCAGCTTCTATTGTCTGCCTTGTTGACAAGAATTAAGAGCAGCGGCTAAGAGCTTTCTGTAGGACTTTACAGCCGTAAGTCCCTAGTAAAATCAGCACAATAGGAAGTCAGTTATTGTAACAGATGTCCATTTGGAAGGAAAACAAGCAACTGTGTGACATAGGCCTACAGCAAGCAGCCAAGAAAAGGCAAACACCAGCCTGAGTACATTAAAATGTATTAAACAAAGCACACTTAATACATGTTGAGAGCAGAGATCTGTGCATTATTAAAATATTAAGACTGTATTGCTTCCTGCCCCTTTGACATTAACAACAGCATGTTGTGTTACTTAATTTCAGCTTGAGTTGCATTTTTATTTATCAAAATAAGCGAGGAGCCTTTGAAAGAAGCTTATCTGTCACTGCCAAATGTCTACAAATACAGTCTCCTGCAGTGACCAGAAAAGATATTCTGACAATAAGCAGGAGGGGAATCAAACTGAGGGGAAACAAATTTATATAAATCATTAGCAAACCAGAGACACAAGAATGGCACCAGACGACTCCATGTGATGCTGCATTTCAGAAATGGCATAGGTTGGAAGAATGGGGTCGCCATAAATAAATAAGCGCACAATTTTCTCCTACAGGACTTCAGCACCAAGCATAGAAAGGATGCAATTTTCCTCCCTGGAGCAGATAGCAAGCAAGCTCTATTTTCTGAAGTGCCCAGAAATCTTTTGCTTTCAAACAACACAGAGAACAATACACAAATGAAGTGGTAGACACACAGTCATTTATCAATTTTCTCCCTGGGAAAACCCTGATAAGTTGTGGAAAACAGTATGGAAACCCCTGGATTTACAGTGTGAAGAATCAACCGTTGACTCAGGGGGGAAAGAGTAAAATTACCTTCCGACACGGCAACCTTGTGAAGTGTCCTTGTGACATTGAATTCTAGCCAGTATATCCTTAAGACTGTAACCATATGAGCAAGTAGACACTGTAATTTAGTGTTATCCAAACCACATGGGATTAAAAAACAAAGTGATTAAAATGATAACCTAAAAGGACCTCACTGAGGGGATATGCTTCCTTCATTCAGTATAAGATGCTCTTGACCTACAGAATAGTATCTTCTTTAGTGTGACTTCAGCCATTCAGAGTCAACTTTGGGTTTTGCAGCTGAATTCTATTCTGGTGGATGCCATTTCACAGGATCTTTTATATCTCACTGAAGATGTATAAACCACTCTTCAGAAAAAAGTAAGAATTTTCACCTACATCTCTGTCTTGCACTGGATGATTAACAGTGGGAAATCCAACACAGTACCCAAAAATGAACATGTACTATATTTATTCGTGTATAAGTCAACCTCGTGCATTAGTCAAGGGCAGAATTTGGGAGTGAAAATTATGGATTTTAATGGATAGGTTGAGCCTTAGACCTGCCGGAAGATATTCAACAGCTTAGTGAGCTGTCAAAACTTAAAACACAATTAAAGATCAATTTCTTCTGGCAGGCCTACGCAGTCAATTTAAAGCCATGAATTTTAACTTTACATTTTATCAGTATTGATTATTATATTTGTGCTCTGTATTTTCATATATGTATTTTAGTGGTATTGTGTTTTATCTTTATGTTTTTACCACCCTGTCTTAAGTTGTGAGGAAAGGCCGGGGACAAACAAAATTTATGATTATGATTATTCTGTAGAAAGGAGAAAGGCTCAGTGGTTCCTTTTGTATATGAATTAAGGCAGAATTGTAGATAAGTAGTCCAGCTCTACCTTTTGTAGTCAGAGTATATACAGCAGAGGGACCTAAATATCTTTATTCAGAATAAAATCTGTGAGTTAGGAAAATTCCAATAAATGTACAAGTATAGGCATACCTAATTGTCTATGTAGGCAATCCCTAGTGGGATTGAGAGGAGAGCCTCCTCAGCAGATCTTATGGCTGGAGTTACAATTAAAATATATACCTGTTCCAACTTACATACAGATTCAACTACAGAACCTATCTTCTTCATAACTTGGGGACTCCCTGTACATGCATCTGCTCTAAAATTCACAACACAAAACACTGCATTTTTATTAATGAAACTATTTTCATTTCATCTTGTTTGCTGTTTTAGTAACAGCACTTAATTCAGTGATCTGAATCCAGTGTCATTGCTGTCACTATATTTATATTTTAAAAATCATTCTTACCTCCATGGTATGTGTTTTTCCTGAAGATGTTTGACCATAAGCAAAAATTGTGCCATTGTAGCCCTCGAGGACATCTAAGAGGCAGAGAAATGAAATAGATTATCTTGGGAATATTAAAAAGGAAGCTAAGGAAAACAATACAATGTGTATCTTCTAGTCAGGAAGAAGAGACAGAGAAAGGGAGAAAATGGGAAATGAAATGCAACTTTGGTAGAAAATGTGCAGATTGTCATGTTGCTAGGATAACATAAAGAGACAGGATTTCCAGAAAGCCAGATCTAATTTAGATAATAACATCATTTATTTCTTCCTATTACTTTTCTGAATACATGGATATGGGTTTATTCAGAGTAGTCAGTTTGAAAGGTTAAGGAAAGGAGAAAATTATGTGCACTTTGGACTGCCTCATTTTCAAAGGAAATGAATGGGCACATGATATGATATTTATCTGATATTTATCTACTACTTTTTCTCGAGTTGACATTGTGTTCTATGCCTTTGTCTTCTTGTTTAATTGGGAATTGCAGGGTTGTATTATTTAAAAAAGGTTGGATGCAGGCTATTTATTATTTTAGACTGTAAGATCTCCTCTTGGCACAGTCTTTTCAAAAAACATTAACATATATGCTCATGACATTTGGAAAGATATCATATAACACTATCTGGAAAGTCCTTCAAACAAGCAGTTGTCAAACAAGATTGCAAAATTTGTTGTGGTCTCAACACGTTATGGTAACACTTACTGAATTATAAGTTTGTGATATCTTTGAGCATTACTATTTCCATGTAACCAAAACAGTCAAGAAGTTGCAAACATTCACAAGTTGCAAACATTCAAAGAAATTTGAGAACGTAATACTACTAAAGATTTTAACATCTGAGAAGTCCATTTTAATTTAACTTCAGTGACTTTGGCTGGCACACACATTATATAACCTAAAGGAATTCACAAACAGAAATGTAACAACACAAAGTTGCCCTATACATTTTAAATGCATGGTTTTGCTAATGCACTTAACCATAATTGTTATTTTCCATCTCTAAAACAAAAGATGTTCATTGTTCCAAGTCTTGAACAAAGCTGACAGCTAGATGTACTTCACAAAGCCGGAAAAACAGAAAACCTGTCCAAGTGCTAACCACTCTAGTTCAGATTGCTTAAAGGGGAATTCGCCTGCATCTATGGAGCTGTCCAGAGGAATAGTGCTGACTGGAGTGTCTTAAAAAAACGACTGTGGGCTTTCATGAACATGGAATTTTGGTTGCTTCCACTGAAGCCAGCATAGATCAATACACAGAAATAAAGTGAGATGCTTATACTAGAGAAGAATATGGTTGTTCCTCTTATCATTTAATGCCACTTTCACAAAAATAGGAAAAGCGAAAACTCATAGAGTAGTACAATATCCAGTGCAGTCTCAAAAAAAAACCCAGAAAGAGCAACCTGAAAAGTTTGTTCCTGTTTCTTCCACATTTATGCATTGTTACATTGACAAGAATAGTAACAATGTGGCTCCCGTCACAAGGTTAACTCAGTATTATAATCGCACATGGGTTTAAATTAAAATGATCTGCACAACATGTCAGCGTGGACATTCCTGGGACTGGACAGAAACTTTCATCCTGATCACTCTTTTCTTGAACTGGTCATTAACCATAATAAATTAAACTTGAACTATATCCTGTCATTGCATTCAACAGTTCTTCAACTGGGTTTTCATCAATTAGATCTGTTGTCCCATTCACTTTTCTCCTCTAACTCACTGGTTTTCCCAAGAGGTCTTGACTCTTCCTGAACTTAAAATTTTCTCACAACCAATGAGATTGTGTCCCCCAAATATAAAGAATTAGGGAAACACACCCAAATACACACTCCTTTCTTCAAAATAAGGTATTTCCTTCAACATTTTTATGACATTACTCAATTATGTTTTTGTTCCCCATTTTAGCAGACAAGGAACACGTTAAAGCAGGCACCCTCCTAAAATATTTCCCATTGCTACACTCCCCCCAAACTTTCAAATTTTATTCAGCAAAGATGATGAGGGCTGGAAAACCCTGAGATGGAGAAGACAGACCTGAATACAGTGAGGACAAGAGAGTGGGGACAAGATGAGGAAGAGTATGGAGAACAGGAGAGATCATAAGGAGTGGAGAAGGTGAAGGTGAAGGGACTAGGTGGTTGCGTAGGTGGGAGTACTGAGGAAATGAAAAGTCTAAATGGGAAAGAATGGAGAAGGAAAGGCCACAGAAGCCATGGACAGTACATGAAAGGGGAGGGTAAAGGCAAGGACCTTGATAAAGCTGGAGGGAAAGGCCAGCAGAAGTTTTGGTGACTCCCATTTCTTCACATTTGCTGTTGTTTGCTTGGGCGAGGCTGGACTCACATTTCCTCTATTCATTTGTGAAGACTTACAATGGGAAAAGAAAGTGAAGGAACTGGTGGAAGGGACTTTATAAGCAATCCTGGGGTGGTCTTGCTGGCAGGGTTTTGCCTTAGGACACCAGGATCTTGCCTGAATTAAGGGAGGTCCTCAGCATTCCTCTGCTTGGTGTATATTGTGTGTGTGTTTCTGCTACTGCTTTTTTTTTCTTTTTGCTTGTATACACCCTGGCCTATTGACTACAAATAACCTAATACATTTGACCTATTGTCCCATTAGCAGAAGTGGGAAGAGTCACAGCCCCTTAACGTATAGCCAATTCCATTGAATATCTTTAACCATGCTATCATAAACCCCCTTGAAGCTGTAAACTAAACCACAGCCATAATATCATATAACTTGGAAACTGATAACTTGATCTTGACCCAGTAAGTTTGCAATCACAAATTCCAAAGAGGTCAGTGTCTTGAAGGCAGTATAACACATGTGAATGTTCAAAGAAGTGGGCAGTTGGAAATGCCTACAGCTATTGACTTGATCTATTCACATTGTTCGAGCCTTCATCCAATCAATGTTTTGAAAAAGAATCAGAATATAAATCTCAAAGTTTATATAGACCAAATTTTTTCCAATCTTCATAATAAGCTCACTCATCTTCCTCAAAAAACAGGGAATGATTCAAAGCAGACTAAAAGGAGATGACACTGAAATTAATTACTACTGACATTTTTTCCCATTTCCAATAAAAATATTTTTTTTTCCATCAGGGGAGAAGGGTTTTTTTTTTAAAGAAACTGGGAAAAATACTAACCTCATTAGGCTATAGAGCCTTATATTGTTAAATTCTAAAAGTAGCCAAGTTTTCACAGACTCTTTGTCCATTAATTGAATAATTTACCTCACCTGACTAGCTGAATAGTAAAGACGCAGATAAAAAAATGCCAATCTATTCCATTGTATTGTATTTAAACTCTGTGTTATGATTAATTATACAGTACAATCAAATTTCCATGGACTCAATATCCCCAGTTTCCATTCACTCATGCTCCCAAAAAACATTTCCTCCGTAAATGTGTGTGGACCTCTATAGGTCCTCCATCGTAATTCTATGGTATGCTTCAAACCCAAGGATGGGCTAAGTATTCACTTTGCTAATATCAGTGGTTTCAAGTATCCACATGGGATCTTGAAATGCATCAAACTATTCGTCAGTGGAATATGCTGCCTTGGAATGTGATGGAGTATCCTTCGATTGAGGTTTTTAAAAAGAGGCTGGATGTCCATCTGTTAGAAGTGCTTTGATTGCACATTCCAAGAGGACTGGATGATCCTTGGGGTCTCTTCCAACTCTATTTTTCTAACAAGTATTTGAATTTTTCTCTCCCATACTAAGGCAAAGTTACAATACATTACTTTGACTTACCTTTATTCGTTCATAAAGACTGTCCTTGTTCCATAATACTTTTCAATATACATTGAAAACCCATTATTGAATCCCTGCATGCTACAGCAAGGTCACTAGTGAATAGATTTAAGAGACTTTTTAACCCTGTGTGCGTATTCCATGAAGATGAGAAGAGGGGTTTAATCTGAGCTCGCTGGCAAATAGCTCTATTACCAATACAAATAGGATTAGAAAAAGAGGACATGCCTGTTTTCTCCCTTTCAGAATTTGAAATGGGGAAAAATGTTCTATTTTTCATTGATGAAATATGTGAGCAGACTGCGACAGACTGCAAGCTTCCTTCGAGCAAGAATCACCTCTTCTTTCTCACATAATTCATAAAATATTTCATACATAGTTATCATCACACACAATGAAAACTCGTCCTAAGTATAGGACAGTTTTGTCTGAATAAAAATATTAGGAAGACACACATAGACATTTTCAAAGCTTAGCCTCAGACATCCTTCCCCCATCCATATATTCTACTGTAACAATCTGCAATAGTGCCAAGCATACATAAACTAAACGTGGCAGTCAATAGTTTATTCTATGTGGATTGAGGTTCGCCCGGTAGCTATTTATTCCAATGAAATCATTAAAATATCATTTTGCCTTTATCTAAGGTTCCAGATGTCCCTTGTAAACAGCTACAGTAAAAAAGAAAAATGTTCATCCGGCTGCCTATATTATCCGTTTCTCATTTCCATGCACTCCAGCAACACCATCTAGTAACCATGGTGCTTAATTCCATTCGGTCAGCAAGATTCAGCTGATACAACAGCCATTTCCCTACACAGCAAATGGACTAGAGTCTTTTATTCTCCTAACAACAATCAACCAGTGCAAGAAAAAAAGAGAAAAGCAGGGGAACTAATTTATAGGAGACGGCTATTGAGGCTGAAAAAAAAATAATATTAAAATATTCCAAAGGAGGAGCTGCTAAGTTCCCTTACCAAGGCCTCCACTGCTCGCCTCCTACAAAATTCATCTGTAACTCCTTGGGTAATTGAATAAAGAAATAAAATATATGTTATGCAATATTTAGGAAGATGGGGAAGGGAGCACATATTGCTCATCCCTGTGCTTTTCTGATATGAATTCCCAAGTTCAAGGGAAAAGGTCAATGTAGTAACGCCATCAGGGTCCAAATTAATGGAGAAATAAATTACTGAACAAGAACAATGGCCTCCACAATAACCAGGTTTCGAAAACTATGTTTGTAATTCTAACTTACAGTTGCACAATAAACACCAAAACTAAGTTGCCAGTGTAAACATATAAAGGGATAAAATTATTAAAAAACATTTTAACAAAATAACCACAGAATTATTGGTTATTCTAATAAAGTTAATAGCTATCATAAGAAAATGGTGGTTGAACAAGTAAACTCTAGATAGAAAAATATAACCAAAGCAATAGCTACACTTGAGCCAGACTATGGTCAAGGTTGGGGGAAGCTTACAAATCTGAACAGATTAAAAAGTAAAGGCCTCAGAGCCTGCAATTCACTCTTTCCTCACTCCATTTTAAGTGTCCTCTCATTAACTTCTTGGCGTTAATAGAAAAAAAATTCTACTGCTTTTTAACTCTATTATACAAAAAGATTCTTCTAGAAATAGTAGACAGTAGACCCTTGATCTCTGTTGTGTTTGGTCTCAGGACCTCCCACGGATACTAAACTCCATGGGATGCGCAAATCTCGTTATGTATAACGACATAGTAAAAAAGTGTCCCTTATACAAAAATGGCAAAATCAAGGTTTTCTTTTTGGATTTTCAAAAATATTTTCAAGCTGGGGATGGTTGAATCCCAAATGCAGAGGGCCACCTGTATAGACTAAAGGCAATTTCCAAGAAATGTTGTGAATACTTAGTGTTTATTTCAAAAAATGTTTGTCCATTACATTTACACACTTTAGAGCAGACATGGGCAATCTTTGTCCCTCCAGGTGTTTTTCAACTTCAGCTCCCAGAAATCCCAGACAGCTCACCGGCTGTTAGGAATTGTGGGAGTTGAAGTCCAAAACACCTGGAGGACCAAAGTTTGCCCATGACTGCTCTAGGTCAATGTGGTCCAATATCTCTTTCATTTTCCCTGTATATCTCCACCTCTCCTTTCCTTTATGTCTGATGCCATATTTAATTTCCCTGGCTCAATGCTATGCAATGCTGGGATTTGTAATTTGGTGAGGCAGCAGCATTCTTTGACAAAGAAGGCTAAATACCTTGTAAAACTACAGCTTATGGGATCTCATAGCAACGAACCAGAGTAGTTAAAGTAGTGTGGAACTGCATTCAATTCACAGCATAAGTACACCCCAAGGAAGCTGGGGCAGAATAAACAGGACAGACTCCTGGAGGGAAGGGCTATCTATTTCTGTGGTTTTCCTTTCCATTGCTTGGAAGCAGAGGCGGCCGTAGGTAATTTTCAATGGTAAGCAAACAGTATTCCCCCCCCCCCCAACCAATCACTGATATATATTTTCTGTTTGTCGTGGGAGTTCTGTGTGCCATATTTGGTTCAATTCCATCATTGGTGGAGTTCAGAATGCTCTTTGATTGTAGGTGAACTATACATCCCAGTAACTACAACTCGCATATGTCAAGGTCTGTTTGAGGTAGATGTGAATGTTTCAATTGGCCACCTTGATTAGCATTTAATAGCCTGACAGATTCAAGGTTGGCTTCTTACTGTCTAGGAGAATCCTTTCTTAGGAGGTGATTAGCTGTCCCTTAATGTTTCTTATCTGGAACTCCCATTTTTTAGTGTTGTTCTTTATTATCTGCTATGATTTTAGCATTTTTTTAAATACTGAAAGCCAGATTTTGTTCATTTTCATGGTCTCTTCCTTTCTGTTGGAATAGTCCACATGCTTGTGGATTAATAATGTGCACCCTTTTTAGTCAAATTTCAAAGAGGGCACTTTTTGCTGGACCGTTCCGACTTGCAAACAAATTCAATTTGAGATCAAACCTACAGACCCTATCTTATCTGTAACTTGGGGACTGCCTGTAATTGTTTGTAAAGGGACAACGCAGAAGCAAAAAGATTAAGTGTCCAGCACATCGTTCATTTCCTCTATGGCATATGACACGAGTCTGTTACAATTCTGTGGGAATGCTATTTGATCCTTTCATGTGGCAATATCAGAAATATCTGAAACCTAAGCCTTTCTGCATGCAAACGTACTGTACTGCAGTGCTGAGCTATCATTTTGGAAGTCAAAGACAGGACAAATTGCAAGCAATATGCACTATTTCTTCCTCCACTTTCACTCTAACACAGAAACAAAACAAAACAAAAACAAATCCCTGCTCAGTCCCCAAAATATCTCAACAGCTTCCATATTTCACATATCACACTAGAGAAAAATCCACTTAAAATCTAATTTCTCCCTCCTGCAGAATTCTGAGGTTTGTAGTTTAGGGAGGAGCATTTAACAGCCTCACTAAACTACAAACCCCAGAATTCTGCAGGAGGCAGAAAGCAGATTTTAAGTGGATTTTTTATGTAGTGTGATGAAGTGGTAACATGATAATTGCAAGTTCAGTACTTAAGTATCAACAACAATGGGGGGAAAATATAAAAATACACCTTAAACATAAAAGTAGAACAAATGCCTCTGAAAAATGCTAGAAACTGTTACTTGTCACAAATATAGAGAAAGCTTAATTCCAAAATTTACTTTTGAGATTGAACTTCATTATATCCTTATCAACATAGTAATTTTTGACTTATTAAACATTTCCTTTCCTATTAGTCAGACTAGGTTTTCTACCCAATTTCTATTTCTGTTCCACAACATGTAATAGATTCATTAAACATTGTTTACCTTTAACAATCTGCTTGGCACAAGTATTGTAGACCTGTTCCTGGGATGTATTGGGTGGTAACACTCTATCGAAGACATAGGGTTTTCCTTGCTGAAATTAAAAAAGAAAAAAGAAATATAAGTTATTAGCCAAGATCAGATCTGAATATTTATGTTCAACCAAACTTCGCTCCAGTGAATGCTCACGACAACTACGGTATAAGTACCATAATCTCTGGTCATGAAATAAAGTCAAGGGAGTCCTTGATTCCCTCCCAACTCTGATTCAAACAAGATTTTCTTATAGCACATAAAGACAAAGCCAACACTGCTGTCCCTACAGCTATCCCTAGCTTAGTATCAAAATACAGCCCACTAAAGAAAAAAACCCTAAAGTACTTGACTGTCAGAAATATTAAAAATTAACTGAGTATTTTTTATTACAAAAGTGCGAATCAAGCACTAAAAGAGTTAGTAGGCCAAGCCACTTTTTCCTCACTATTTCACATCTTTTTCCATACACTCTCTCTCTCTCTCTTGTTTCTTTCTCCTACCCCTCCCCCCCCTCCTTCTCCCTCCCATTCTCTACCCTTTTTATTTCATACCTCTATTCTATTTATGCATTTGATGTTCTTATTTGGTATCAGCCACTGATTGAGGTTCTGGGTTTTAACCTGCCACTTTTAGACTTTTGCTTGCTGAGATGTTCCTGTGAGTATCTCTGTAGATCTTAGGAAGCTGTTTCTTGATTTAAGGCATTGGTTTCCTAGCCAATATCCAAACAGAGGATGGGCCAGAGATGTCAATGCCTTGGTCCTTTCATTACAGGCTGCTACTTCCCAGTGGTTGTCAGGTGTACAATACTGACTAAACAGTATAATTTATCCAGTGTTGGGTGTAGAATGACATTCGGTGATAATGCAGCATGTCTCCTTATGAGCCACATACACTGTTTTAATGTGGTGAGATAATAATAGCAACAACAACAACTTTATTTAGACCCCACCTTTCTCCCCGTGGAGACTGAAGGTGGCTAACACTCCATACTAGACAAGTTTAAAAAGTGCAATACAAAATTTTTTTAAAAAGTAACAGTGTGGTAAACAGAATTAAAATATAGTAAATACACTAAAATGGCCTTTAAAACCCATATTGCCTCCAATCCATCCAGTCAGAGTTGACTTGAAGCCAGTTAAGAATAATACCCGTCTAGCCTTTACAAAGTCTGTCTACAGCAGAAACCCTTTTGTCTTCCCCTCTCAAATTCTTTTTCTCCACTCTTTTTCTTTCTTGCTTGTCTTTCTCTCCTGTTATATTGGATACTTTTCAGTCTTCCCAACTCTTCTAAGTCTTCCCCTTGCGAGAAACAAGAAGAGAGAGAGAGACAATCTGTCGTTTTTCTCTCTTTCTCTGGCAGATATATTTCTATATCCTCAAAAACTATTTGCTCATTATACAAATTAGAAGGTCAGTCAGGAAACTAGCCAGCATACATATAAAATGTTTCACACTCAAAATTTGCTACAGCTATGGAGAAATCAGAAACATAAAGACAAGTTTTCTAGACCCACCTAAACATGCTCCAAGAATCTGGACTAAAATCTGAAGGCCTCCTACATTTCAGACGATCACGCGTCTTAAGAAGGAATCTTACTTATGAGGAGCTTAATGTCTCCCACTCAAGTGTGTTAATGCATGCTAAAGTTTTCAACTAATCAAAATTATTTCATGTTTAGACCTATGGCATCACAGCCTAAAGATCCCCTTTAACAAACATTGTGTACATTTCATGGTCTTGGAGCTATCACAGGCACAGAGACATATTTATTATTGTTGAACTTATCAAAACCAACAAAGCTAATGGCCAAGTAAGCAAATTCTTTGATCTATATCTGCTGTTTGCAAGTGATCTGAGACATGTTCCATAATCTCCTTCATACTTATTTTTCCTTAAAGAAGATTATAATCGCATTTCAAAGTACAGAAAATTGCTCACAAAAAAAGTGCAAAACCAATTTCAACCTCAAATATTTGATCCATAACATTTACAAGGAACCCCCAGTCGCTCAATGGGTTAAACCTTTATGCCGGCAGGACAGCTGACCAAAAGGTCAGCATTTCGAATCTGGGGAATGGGGTGCGCTCCTGTCTGTCAGCTCCAGCTCCCCATGTGGGGACACGAGAAAAGCCTTCCACGGGATGGTAAAACACCCGGGCATCTCCTGTGCAACATACTTACATATGGCCAATTCTCTCACACAAGAAGTGGCTTGCAGTGTCTCAAATCGCTCCTGACACAGAAAGAAATAACATTTACAGAAAAAGCCTTATTTGCAGTATTATCAAGGTCTGTTGACTACAAATATAACTTTTTAACTTAATATAAAGACGTCCATAACCTAACCTTGTATTAGTTCATATCACATGTTGCCTTCAAACAAATATTCAGTTCAGTAACCACTAAATGTTTAGTCCACTGAGATCTTGACATTTACTTCCTTTGACAAGCTTAAGCAGATAGTTTAAAGCTGAATGAATATATATGAAATGTGAACTATCATATATCATGTAAGACCAAGGTTACTCTATGCTGCCCAAACAGGGGAGAGTGTATTTTGTCTGGTCTTTCTTTATATCCTTTGGTATATAGTCACACTACTCCAGCGTCCTAAATAACAATGAAAAGAGCCCTTTAAAACTGATGTAAGGCAATCTATCATAACTGTAGTCTCAATTCTGTAGCTGAAAGTATGGATTTTTATATTGAACTGAAAATGCCTATGAGTCAAGCAGCTTAAAAAAGAACCGAGAAAATGTCAGTTCTTTCAAAACAAAAGACCAGCTCATTCATTTTTGAAAGTTTATAGAAGAAGAATCATTATATTATTTCTACACTGCAGTCCTGGGGAAATACAAAGGTTTTCTACACATATGTGGATCGAAAATTGCAAGCTTCTCTCTTTCCCCTGACACCACTCTTTCGATCATTATTCGTTTTTACATTTCCAATCATTGTTAATTAACATTCATATTATCTTAGGACTGCCACTTCTGTTTTTCACTCTTCTCCTCTCTTTTTTCACACTGGCCTGTAAGTCTGATCATGTTTTGTTTCTTTCAGTTCACTGGCTACTTTAATCACTTCCAGATTCAATCTCTTCTTCTCCTTCTCCTTCTTTTGGCCTTTCAGGTTTATGCATTCTATACATAGCTCACTTAATAGCTTTGTCTTTACCCTTCACTTTAATTTTCAGATTTATTATGTTTTCCCTCATTTACGTGTGCTCTCATTGGTGACTATGTGTGTTTGGAATATTGAATTGTGAAGACTGCATGGTCCTTTCAATCACTTTTCATCCTTACATTTATTGCAATTAGCCTATATTTTATTTTGCTATCTGCTCCTCTCCTTTGCATATAATTTTATTTTCCACATACACACACACACACACACACAAGCTGTATCCAGCCATGCGTTGCTGTGGCCCTGTGTGGTTAAATGGATATGAAAGAAAAGAGAAAGAGCTGGGTTCTAATACATGTAATTTTATAGTCCCTGTGGGTATGAAATCTTTTTTTCTTATATATGTGATTTCACAATGTTTGTGAGTATTCAATACTTTTGGTTGTTCTGATATAGAGATTGTGTGGTGTGCCGACTCTAGAAGACACAACATATTATTGTCCATGTGTGAAGCAATCCATATCTAAATGTATACCGCAGTGTTCTACCTACTGTCCCTGAGTGTAAATATAGATATGTTGACGAATCAATGGATATAGATCTCTTTCTCTGGGTGGGGCTCCAAAGATGTCCCCCCTCTCTAAGCACATGTAGGTGCTTCCTAAATGCCTCTCTTCCCTTTCCTCTCAGTCATTTACCCTCAGGCCTCCCTGCAGGCATGTTCTGCCTCAGCCGTTGCCTTGGGAAGATTGCCGCTCACAGTAGCAGAGCGGGGCCACAGGACCTGTTGGGTTTCACCTCAGTCCTTGCCACCTACACCTGCCCTTCTTCTCCTTCCTCCACTTATTCCTTTTTTCGAAAGGGGGAAATTGCAAGCAGTGGGCATGGCCTTTTGAAATGTGGTGAGGCCTGATTGGAGAGGGACTATGTTCCCTGGTGGAGGGGCACGGCGAGAGATAGGGTTGCGAGGAGAAAAACCCACCGGCTTTCCTTTTTCCTTCCCTCTCTCGTGCGGGCATGGCTTCTGTGGAGGCATCCCCACAGAGGTAGAGGCAAGTACTTAGCAAAGTTACCTGTCTCAAGTGTGTTCTCAGTGTAGTAGTAGGTATATGAATAGCTTAAAACTCTCACCAGTTCGTATGCTGCCTTATGTCAAAATTTTGTAGCAATCCATGAAGTAGTTTTGGAGATATGTCTGTCACAAACAGACATATACATTTTTATTGATATAGATATATAAGCTCTGGTTAAAAAAAATCTCTGTGACTCACATAGAGCACTAGCTATGGAAAAATACTGCATTTTAATCTTCTAAATCAAGGTGATTTATGCTGGAAAGATAAAATGGAGCACAAATCCTCAAGCTACTACACCAAGGTAACAGCAACAACCATCATTAAGCTACGGCCAACATTTCCTTCAGGGTGTTCGCACATTAGCTTTCCATTAAAACTGTGTCATCTCGTAGACACAGCTCCCTACCTGGAGGCTGCGATGAACTGCAAGAATTCATTTACCGAATGTGCATATTCCACTTTGCAAATGCAACTCATTACATAAAATGCTACCCACTACCAGCAATCCTTGGCCTCGAGGCCTTGATAAAAGACAAAAACAAAATACATTAACTAAAAACCACATCACATTCAGAGATTTTCCGGTGACCTTTTACTATTAATCATTTCTACTGTGCAAAACTGCATGCTGGCAAAGAAGCAAGCTTTCAACAGATTCCAGCCAAGAGCATTTGTTAGATTTTATCTGCTACAGTAAACAATAACTACAGCAGGGTGGGCAATTGCGGAGAGTCTGGGGAGAATTTTCTCCCTCAGAGGATCTTCCAGGAGTCTCAAAAACCATCAAAAACATATTACAAAGCAACACAAAGCAACCTGAAAGTGACAGAAGTTTATGTCTGGTTTTGAAAA